GGGCTTGGCTTGGGCCCCAACATGCGAAATTCGCGACCCCAAAACAGGGGCCGCCAAGCGGCCCCGATTTTGGGGTCCTCTAGTTGCCAGTCAAAATATGTTAAAGGAGGTTGGCTGCATTTCGCGGCTCCTTTTCTGGGGCCGCGAGACGGCCCCATTTTTGGGGTCGCAAGTTTGATTCCTGCACCCACAGCGGCTGAATCTCGTCAGCTGTGCATGTCATTGATTGTATTGACTTTGGGGAGCGTCTGGTGGAGGACCGTTTGGAAGGTCGGAACTTGTCCAAAGCAGCTGTGTTGCTTGCCCTTAATGGTGCTGCAGCCAGCGGAGTGCAACTGTTCTCTCATGTCTTTCACTTCCACAGGCAAGCTGTCTGTTGGAAATTCTTGTTCTTGGAGAATGATTTTTCCACACTGGATGCCTGCCTGTGGGCGGGTCGCCTTGATGTAGCAGTGTGTGTGGAATGCACGGGCTTGGCTTGGGCCCCAACATGCGAAATTCGCGACCCCAAAACAGGGGCCGCCAAGCGGCCCCGATTTTGGGGTCCTCTAGTTGCCAGTCAAAATATGTTAAAGGAGGTTGGCTGCATTTCGCGGCTCCTTTTCTGGGGCCGCGAGACGGCCCCATTTTTGGGGTCGCAAGTTTGATTCCTGCACCCACAGCGGCTGAATCTCGTCAGCTGTGCATGTCATTGATTGTATTGACTTTGGGGAGCGTCTGGTGGAGGACCGTTTGGAAGGTCGGAACTTGTCCAAAGCAGCTGTGTTGCTTGCCCTTAATGGTGCTGCAGCCAGCGGAGTGCAACTGTTGCACCGAGAGTTGTCCATGCCCGCCAACTTCTTTGTACACCTGCTTGCAGAGTTGACAATCACCATTTGACTAATAGTACGGCTATCGACATCAAAGCTGCCTCTTTAAACTTGACGGGCGACTTCCTCGTGGAGGTAGAAGAGTTCACTCTGTTGAATTCAGCTCGCTACAATTGCTTGTGCTGCCCACACCTAGATGCCGCCCAAACTCCAGGTTTTGCCGCCTTTCGGCTATGCAACTTGCTTGTTCCGTCATGGCCCTTTGCCGTGCTAGGCTAAGGCTTTTAACATCTCGCTATGCCCTCTGTAGCCCGAACGGGCCTTTGGCAGATGTGCCCGCTTCCTTACTTGTGCTGGCGGGCAGTTTGATCAGGTAGCAATTTACCGTCAGCACGACTGAGCTCGGAGCTGAGGCCAGCTCTGCAGTTTCACCGGGTGCAACTTGTTTTCAAAGGCGTGGATAGCCCGGCCGGGCTGCCAAGACGTGCAGTGTGCTGCGCGAGAGCAGCAGGTTGCAGGCTATCTTGGCCTCTGCGGATGCAGTGTGCCACCTGCTTGGCAAAAGTTGTAGACAGGGAGCTTTGCAAGCTAGTAGACAAAAGATCGCTAGGTAAAGGAAAGGTCTGGTCCAACCGCAAAGACACTTCCGTCCGTTCAGAGCATTGTCCAGGTGTGGGCTTGTGCCCAGAGGCTTGGTACATGCACAATTCAAACCGAGAACTGGGTCTTCCAGGATGCCACAAATGAGCTGAAGCTGCGAGATCACGGCGCTTCGATCCCCATCAAGGTGCTGGTGGCACAGGCTGCAGAGCTCGGGGACGAGGGCCCCACGAGTTGGAGGACGAGGACGGCTACGAGATCCTGCGGCTCCTGGGCCGCCGGTGGGGGCGACCCCAGAGGGTCCTGGTGCGCTTCGACCCAGAAACCAAGACGGTCCTGAGCTATCTCTGCAAATCGTCCAGCGGGCCAGCGAGCGATCATACTTGGGCAAGCGAGGACTCAAGAGCTCACGAGAATGTGTGGGCGTCATCTTCATCACGGAGCCTTCCACAGATGTGTAGGGAGGTTTCTCAGTTTCGTTAAGAAGCATGGCTGTCGTCATACTGACGTAGGCCTTTTGCTCCAGCCACACAGCCGAACTGTTGGTTGGCACTTCTTTTTGTCAGCTGACCGAGGCGCAAGGTGAATCGTGTCCAAGCTTTCATGTCTGGCTGACGGGACCCTGCAGGCAATGTGCGCATGAGACGCCAAGTTTTTCCACTCCAATGGCCAGTCCAGCGCAGAGGCTCAAATTGCATGGGGTCGGAAAGCTCCAAATTGAGCTCACGAATCCTTGCAAAAGCCGATTGCAAATTTGCAAGCTCCACGTCACCGAGTTGGGCAAATCTGTGAAAGCTTGGCGCTTGGATCAAGTTTTCGAGGAGAAGCCTCGGCATAGTGTCGCTCAAACTTGCCAAGGTAAGCAGCAGCGAGGCGGCACAAGGTCCAAGACCCAAACTGCTTTGCTGAAGCCGTCGCAAGAAGAAGGGTAATCAGTCACCACTTTGCCCACGTGCTGCAGGAAGGCCAGGCCAGCGGGATCTCAGCCTCCGGGTTTTCGAGCAGCCACACGCCATCGCGCTTCGCGAGCTGCAGATCCAGCTTCTCACATAAGACCGCCATACACTCCCGACTCGCTGGTGTTTCTTCCTGCGGCCACGTCCCGCGCCATCCTGTGAACGCCCTGGCGCTCTGCCGGAGCATAGCGCAGTTGGGGGATGCGGCGATTGACATTTGAGGCGCCACCGCTACGTTGTGCTTGGTGAATTCTCCGGCAGCCTGATTTAGGCAAAGAAAACCAAAACTGAAAGGAGTGGGGGAGGGAATGTGGAGCGAAGGGAGTGGAGAGCAAGGACCAGGTGCAGAGGCATATGAAACCAAAGCGTGCGCAATTTGCATATCATATCCCTTCCAGATTTGTTAATTTTGTTGGCATGCTTGAGTATCTGCACGACTAGTCGGCTTGGCTTTGTGCAGCCAAGAGATCAATCATCGATGCATATTTAGTGAACTGGATCAGCATGGCATGACACTTCTTAGTCCATAGAGACGGAAGCATCATTTGTCGTGATGTCTTGCGATTGCCTGGCCCCAGGTCCAAGTAAACAAAGTGGCTTGGGGTTGAAGGTCTGGCCAAGTAAGGTCGTAGTGGTGAGGAAATGCTGTTGAGGTTCGAGATGGAACATGTGTCTGTCAGGTCAGGGCCGTTGAAGGCTTGACGGAAGCTACTGGTACTCGCTTGCTGATCCATCCAGCTGGATAGCAGGGTACTCTTCGTGGCAGATTGCATGCCAAGCTGTGCTAAGCCCTGGCGTTGTCGTTTAGCTGGGTTCGCGGCACTTAGCGACAGACACCATCTGCGAAAGGGGGATGGCGAGAGTGTGGGCTGAGGTTCAGGGTCCGCTTCCCGGTTGTCCAATGTTTTCGTGAATGCAGTGGGCTCTGCAGTAATCGTCAAAGCTCAGCTGCGACTCCATCAATCCCGCCAGCATGTCCGTTTCCCTCATGGTCAGCCATGTCAGTCAAAAGATTCGGGAGAACCGTCGCGAAGCTCTGCAGCCTTAATGTAGCAGCTTTGACAAGCAAACACACTACCTGTAGTAGTCGCGAAGTCCTGCGAACACTGAGTTTGCACTAAAACCATACATCACAAACCTTAGCCGCACAGCCTGGTAGGCGTAGCACTGGTGATGGTAATGCTTTTGGTGGTAGTGGTAGCGGTGCCCTGCTGCTGCCTCTCACTTCCTGCAGCTGAGAGCCTGCAGCAGCATGAGGCTCAGGGCCAGAGGTTTCATACTTGGTGCCGACCCCGAAACTAAACCTTAAAAAATGAAGCTTAAACCCTACGTAACATGGAGAGACGCTATATATTGTTGGCCGTGATGGTGCCTATGCCTCTGCAGTGGCACGGCGTCTCTGCTGCGAAGGTGCAGTATCCACCGAAAGCTGCGGGGGTCATTTTGGAAAAGTTTAGGCCTGGCCGAGGTTTTTTGGGGTTCAGGGCCTAGGTTTCGGGACCTTTTGGTAGCACACAGCGGGATTCTACTCTTTGTTTGGTTTCAGATTTTAGAGTCTCGGGAATTATTGGACCCTCGTTGTTAGACCACCGCCAAAACCGTCTTTGGTTCGCACGCATGTCGGTTAGAAGACCCAAACTCTTAAATCGCGTTCGCACAACTACGACAAACGCTACGCTCTAGCTGATTAGCACAATCCCCCACATGCTGTGACATGCACGCCTAGCAGGATGCATTGTGGCAGCTGCCTGACTGCAACATCGAGATCCTACAGGACACAGTTTGAGAAGCGCCAGAGTCGTAGGAGTCGTAGGTATGTCGGGGGATTCTGTGAGCAACGAAGATATGGCCAGTGCGCGAGTATACAATTCGTGAGCCCTCAAGCCTTGGGGTTAAACCGGAATTCAGCAAACTCCAGGAGGATGCTTGGAGACAGCGCTTCCTCGAGGAGTGCTCTTGCAGCACTGAGCTGAACTGGTTGGACTCCTTGAGCACAAGATGTTGCCGAAACTCTGGACCTTACATGTCGAACCATAAACCGAAAGCCCCACATCCAAAGCTTTCCCAAGCAGTTTCCATTCTGAACCCTCTTAGCTTTTAACAGAACCGTAGATATTCGAACTGTTGGCTAGAAAGCTAAAGCCTCTCAGGTTTCATGGGCAGCGCCCGGTAATTCTTCGTGGCTGGAGCTCCAAGGCACCATTGCCCTCAGGGGTTTAGGGTTTCAGCTTGAAGGTTCCAAGGTGCTACGGTTTTAGGGGATAGGTTTAGGGTTTAGGGTTTAGGTTTTGAGGCATTCATGGTTTCAGCATTCAGGGTTTGTAGGCTGGCGGTTTAGCGTTAACCCTCATGAGTTCTTTGGCCTTATTCACTGTATGAGCATTTTACCGATACAGCTTCATGTACCATTTAATCATGAGGCAGTCAAACTTCTTTGGGCCCCTAACTTACACCAGGTTCGAGCCTCAAACCTATCGAGACAACGCACATGAGCTGCAGTCAATATTGGGCATATGGGGTCTTAGGTTATTATCAAATATTTGGCCTTTACAGTTTACTAGTTACTAGTGGCATATGCAGCAGCTCATGCACATGTTCAAGCCTACAACAGGCTACGCAGAAGCTGGCAGAGCGGATGGAGAATGAGACCATGCTTTCAGAATTCGGGAAGACGGAGGCAGGTATGAGTCACACATCGGGTGTCAGGCTTCAGGTTTCACGATCTGGAGGGTGTGGATTCTGTGGCATTTCGTGCTTTGGGGATCGGGTTTCAGTGGCAGTAGCAGCAATTCGTCGTCGTCGGAGGAGTCGTAGGCAGGTTTCGCAGATTCTTTGGCGAGGCCTCCAAAACCCACAGTTGGATCAAAGCTGGAGGTGCGCGTCGGCCGTGGCTTCTTCTTCCATGTCCAGGGGCAGGCTGAAGAAAGCCTTCCGCTGGAAGATTTCATTCGGAGCATGCCGAATGACAACTACTTGTTCGACTTTGGTGAGTCTCCTGCTTGCGTACAGTATTGATCTTTGCAGGAAGAGTGGCCTTTTGACCACATCGACTTTCGTACTGCTGGTCCGTTGCACAAGTCCGACATTTTACGAAACCCTGAACACCCGAAACCCCTTCCAGAACCGCCAAGGTTCATGGAGCAAAGCGGTTTATCTGCCAACTGGACCCTTCCTCCCGTCCTGGAACAGCTAGGAACGTACGACACCTCCTCCGTGCCCCTTCGCCTGGCGTTGGGCAGTAAAGGTCAGGGGATGCCTTTCCACAGCCACGAAGAGCCTTGCTTGCGGTGGCCATAGAACCAAACCTTGACCCTAAACCCCTAAACCCCTGAACCCGTAAACCCTAAACCCCTAAGCCTTAAGCATCTGCCGATGATGCCCGGTTCCTGCATCACTCCCAGGACTCCTACCACTTGCAGCTGCAGGGACGGAAGCGCTGGGGAATTTATGCGCCAGGGAAGATGACAAGAACAGGTGTCCTCCACTCCGAAGATTATACGACCTGGCTGAGATTTAGAAGGAGAGCAGTGGCCTTGGAGTTGAGTGGAGCGTGCTGTAGATATGTTGCAAGTAGGGCTGGACGTCAGCATTGCAGCTACCAAGTTCAGGCTCAGAAGCATCACCCATCCCAACAGACACAGCCAATCGCAGTTCGTCGTTTGAGATCGTAGCCCTGTTGCAGGAGAGGCAGAGGCTTCGTTCCACCGCAGTGGGAATGCGTTTCAGAGCCCGGCGACCTGCTCTACGTCCCGGAAGGATTCCAGCACGCCACGGCAAGCCTGGGCTACTCCGTGGCCGTGGTGCAGCAAGCGCGACGCGCTTTGCCTTGGTCGGCCGTCTTCCACCGACATGCCGCCGTGCAGGCCAGCCGGGAGAAGCAGCACAAGCAGGCGGTGAAGCTGGCCAAGAAAGCTGCAAAGCTCGATCCCACGAACTCGGATTTGTGGCTGACCCTGGCTCAGATACACCAAGGGCCAGACTCGGACTCTGCCGCCAAGATGCTGGGTTCTTGTCAAAGATGTTTTATTCAAGTCACCACAAACCATGTTATTTACCATAGATCCCTTTTGTGGGAAAATGAATAGCAACTCTTCAAACCCTAAACCCTAAACCCCTAAACCCTAAACCCCTAAACCCCTAAACCCCTGAACCCCTAAACCCTAAACCCTAAACCCCTAAACCCTAAACCCCTAAACCCTTAACCCCTAAACCCCTAAACCCTAAACCCCTAAACCCTTAACCCTAAACCCTGAACCCTAAGCCCCTAAACCCTAAACAGTTGATCCCAGGATGGTGAAGTATTGCGAGAAGGGCCTCAAGGCGAACCCTCTCTGCGGGAAGACCCGGCTTCACCTGCTCATGGCCTACAACTCCCTGGGCCTTGCCAGCCAGACCCAGGAGCTCATGGGCAAAGATCCCCCACCTTCCAAAAAAAGAATTGAAGCCCAAGGCTTTTTGGAGGCGGAAACCTCTGAGAGCTTGAACTCTCAAGCTGTAAACCTCGAGGATCAGCTTGGAGCGAGCCGCCAAGTAAGTGAACCCCAAACCCTAAACCCTAAACCCTAAAAGTAAGTAAACCTCCAGCCTTGCCTTCCTAAAGCTCCAGGAGCCCCGAGAACCTCCAAAACGTCTTGAGCCACGAAAGCCCTGAATGTTTACAATTGTCATAACACTTCTTGTAGTCTTTTTCATGATTACTACCGTGCCTGTTCCGAGTCTTGTTGTTATTACCAATGCGCTGATTATTTTGATGATTGTCGTTATTGACATGAGTCCTATGATTGTGATTGTGACTCTGACTTTGATTGGTATCCTTATTGTAGTCATTATTGTACCTTGTTACCATAGGGTTTAGGGTTTAGGGTTTTGGGAGTTTAGGATTTAGGGTTTACTTCATGCTGCTATGAGCAAAAGGAGCTCATGGAGGAGACCAAAGCACTCGGTCGAGAGTTGGTGGAAACCGTGGACTTCTTAGTCCAGGCCGAGCAGAAGCGGCGGGTGGAGCTGTGACGCTGCCCAGAGGCTGCGGGGCTGTGTGCATTGAGTAGCAGGAGCAGGAGCAGGTCGTAGTCGTAGTTGTGGTGGTGGGTAGTAGTGACACTAGCAGCCAAGCAACAGTAGCAGTAGCAGTAGTGGCAGTAGTTGTAGCAATGGCATGCAATGTATCCAGCAGTCAGGCTTCTGGCCCTGGTGCCGATCCGATCAAAGATTTGAGGCAGGAGAGAAAGTGTCCGAATGCAGCGTCTTCGTGACACCCCGCGAACCGTTTCGTATTGCTGTGCCCGGGATTCTTTCGGCTTGAACTGAGCATGAAGGTGGTTTCAAGTGGCAGTCGACCTTGCAAAATCTGTTTTTAAGTCGCAGTCGACTACGTACAGTAGCCTGTCAGACACCATGGTACGCACGGTGGCAGGATTTGTAGATGACGTAGCCAAGAGGACCCTGATCGTAGCGATCTCCCACCGCCCACACTCGCTCCGCAAAACGTCAAATCCGGAACCAACCGCTGGCTGCGGATCTTTTGCCATGTGGCGGACTTGATGACCTCGGCGCCTTCACCGACCCTCAGTGAGGCAAGCCGTGTGCACACCGAAGTTCCTGCTATAACCTGAATAATGGCAATGAAACCAGTAGAAGTAATAACACTGACGTTGGCCGCCGTGGGCCTTTATCGTTCATGTTCCTTCTGCAATCAGTGCATTCAGCCTGGCGCTCCGAAGGCCTGGGCAGTCAGCGGGAAGCACGTGGGTTGCTACACCGGCGGCAAGGTGCAACTCCTAGTAAAATAAGACTTCGGTGACTTAGCTGCAGCAGCGGCGTCAGCAGCATCAGATGGTCTGTATACTTGTGTATTTCGTAGTAGAGGGGACTGTAGACAGTAGCCACTATGTGTCTGATCATTCCTACCGTAGGGCTCCTCTACCCCGAAAGCTTCTTTTGACTTCGGCCAGATCGGCTTCTGCGAGTCTTCCAACGTCCTCGGCTGCTTCACCGGCATGCTCTTGCCAGGGGATGTATAGTGGTTATACAACAACAAAAAAAGAAAAGCATTCAGTGTGCTAACAGGAATCGATTTGAATAGTGCAAGGTGAGTAGCCAACGCAATCAATCGGAAGTATTGTCGGACCGCGTTCCCCAAGCCCCAGTAAGATCATAGTCCTAAGCACTAAACCTTATTGTGCTGTTCCCAGGCCGTCCTCGGAGTTTGTGGGCTTGCAAACGCCAAGTTTCATGCCAGATTTGTCATTGAGACATAACTGTTCGAATCACTCTTAATGTCCGGGATATTCGATTTCTTTCTGGCTCTTTCGCCCCAAAGCTTGTGGCGCCTTCACTTCCAGATTTCGGCCATGAAGAGGGTCAGTCTTGCAGCGCGATCCTTAGCCGCAATGCCGCGGCGAGGCACATAGCTGAAACCTGATCCCCCGTAGTCCTGAACCATAAGAAAAGGTCATGAACAGCGAAGAGCCTGGACATGACTCTGGATCTTGAACACCAGCCAGATGAAGCAAAGATGGTATTTCGATGTGTTTTGATTGTAGCTGTATTGGTGGAACTACGCGCATTCTTTTACAACCTTCTTGGTATAAAGGAGCCATTTTAAACCCTCCACCCTGAACTACTATTCTTGCTGGCTTTTCTTACCTTTGGTTAGTAGGGAATAGAGGAATGGTAGTAATAGTAGATGTAATCATACCCCATTCCTCCATTCCCTACTGTACTAACCAAAGGTAAAGATCCCTGGAAGGAACCCTAAACCCCTATAGATCCCTTTAAAGGCACCCTATGGATCCCTTTAAAGGAGCCCTAAGAAACGCGTGATGCCCAGAGACTCCAATAATATCCCTTAATCAAGGAATATATCTTAAATCATATTAAGGATCCTACTATAATTTAAGGTATATTCCTTAATTAAGGGATATTATTGGAGTCTCTGGATGCTACGATCATCTTCTGTGCCAGGCCTGTGCTCCGAGGAGTTGCACCTGGTGGACGCCGCCTGCCAGGCGCTGGTAGACAAAAGCCTGACAATAATAGTTATGGGGAGTAGTAGTAGTAGTAGTAGTAGTAGTAGTAGTAGTAGTAGTAGTAGTAGTAGTAGTAGTAGTAGTAGTAGTAGTAGTAGCAGTAGTAGTAGTAGTAGTAGTAGTAGTAGTAGTAGTAGTAGTAGTAGTAGTAGTAGTAGTAGTAGTAGTAGTAGTAGTAGTAGTAGTAGTAGTAGTAGTAGTAGTAGTAGTAGTAGTAGTAGTAGTAGTAGTAGTAGTAGTAGTAGTAGTAGTAGTAGTAGTAGTAGTAGTAGTAGTAGTAGTAGTAGTAGTAGTAGTAGTAGTAGTAGTAGTAGTAGTAGTAGTAGTAGTAGTAGTAGTAGTAGTAGTAGTAGTAGTAGTAGTAGTAGTAGTAGTAGTAGTAGTAGTAGTAGTAGTAGTAGTAGTAGTAGTAGTAGTAGTAGTAGTAGTAGTAGTAGTAGTAGTAGTAGTAGTAGTAGTAGTAGTAGTGAGTAGTAGTAGTAGTAGTAGTAGTAGTAGTAGTAGTAGTAGTAGGAGTAGGAGTAGGAGTAGTAGTAGTAGTAGTAGTAGTAGGAGTAGTAGTAGTAGGAGTAGGAGTAGGAGTAGGAGTAGGAGTAGTGGTAGTGGGTAGCGGCAGTGGCAGTGGCAGTGGCAGTGGCAGTGGCAGCAGCATGAGCAGCATCAGTAGCAATAGCTATCACCACCAGATTCTGTTCTGTCGCCAGCAGGCGCCCACGCGGGTGGTCTCACAAGAAGGCGATGGAGTGCTCACCTTCGCCATCGATCGGCTGGGGTTGCACGCGTGCACGAGTCACAGGAGTGCAAGCTGTCATGGATGCAGGGTTTAAGGTTCCCCAAACGTAATTTTTAGGATTCCGCGGATGTGATAGGGCTTTAATGATTGTAGCGGCTGAAAATGGTAGTGGTAGGGCTTCAGAGGGATTTGACGGGGCTTCTGTGCGGGTGCGGGGTTTCGTGTAGGGTCTGTCTGCTTCTTGCAGGAGCGGCCTGCTGCGGCACTTCTCCCTGGGTTCGGGAGCCCAGCATCGCAGAGCCTTCAGAGTCGTGGACATCGGACGCACTGCAGACGCAAAACCCGAACCGGGATGCGCGAAATCCGAAACCCTCAGCCTGAACTGAGCCCTCAAAGTCTGTGCAAATCGCTGTTTGCGTCCTACACCATCTCCTGAAGGATCGAAGGCCTTGAACCCTAAACCCTAAACCCTAAAAAACCCCTAAACCCTAAACCCTAAACCCCAAACCCTAAACCCTAAACCCCAAACCCCTAAGCCCCTAAACCCCGAAACCCCTAAACCCTAAGCCCTGAACCCTAAACCCTAAGCCCCTAAACCCCGCAGCGAGGTGAGAAGGTCGCATTGGTCAGATCCTGGCGGGGCCACGATCAGGCTTGGGAAACGGGCGATTTCACTGCTTTGAGAGTTTTTGGGGGATTTAGGGTTCAGGGGTTTAGGGGGTTTAGAGTTTAGGGTTTAGGGGTTTGCGGGTTTAGAGTTTAGGGTTTAGTGTTTAGGGCTTGGGTGTTTGATTGGGGACGAGGATTCTAAAGTGCTCTCGAGGGTTTAGGGTTTGGGGCGGCTTAGCCTAGAGCCTGAAAGCCTAAACCTCAACACAGCCCAACAGTGAACCTCAGGTCTTACAAGCCCGTTAAAATTCATCACAACGACCGTAAACACGTTAAACACGCAAAGACAACCATGACAGCCAAGCATGGCCTGAGAAGAAGCAACAAAGCTTGGGTGCGGCCCCCAACTCAGTAATAGTTGAATAATATTCACAATATAGATATATTAGGACCTTAACGGTAGCCCTAGTATAGACTCTTACTGTATGCGGGCAGTACTTAAAACAACGCAATGAACCAAACCCTGAACCAAACAACCCGCACCCCAAGCCTCCAATTCGAAGCCTAACGAACTCTATAAGTCCCAAGGAACTTGAACAGACCGCACTTACACAACATCAACATAGGGACTCCAAACCTCTAAACCTGAACCCTAAATCCTAAACTCTAAACCTCTAGAACCTGAACCCTAAGCCCTATACCCTAAATTCTAAACCCTGAACCCTGAACCCCTTAACCCTAAGCCCTAAACCCTAAATTCTAAACCCTGAACCCTGAACCCCTTAACCCTAAACTCTGAACCCCAAACCCTAAACCCCGTAACCCTAAACCCTAAACCGCAAACCCTCAACCCTAAACTCCATTATAGTACCTTTATAGATCCCCTTTAAAGGAACCCTAAACTCTAACCCCCAAACCTTGAAGCGTCGCCAAAGCCGAAACTCGTGGAGGTGGTCGCGGACGTTAGCTTCGACACCACCGGGGCCCTCGTGGCAACGGGCTCTGTGGACCAGACGGCCAAGGCGGGTTTAGGGTTCAGGAGTTTAGGGTTTAGGGGTTGGGGTTTACGGGTTTGCAAGGAGGTTTACGTATTTAGTGTTGAAGTTACTTACACGTTTGTCTTGGCCTTGAGCTTCTTGCATTTTTGGCTTCGAACCGTTTTATGCAGTGGGCGCGTCGGGCTGTCGATGTTGTGTATGATCTATGATGGGGGGTTAGGCTTCAGAGGGTTTTTCTTTGACTTTATAACCCTAAACCTAAACCCCATACCCTAAACTATTCTTCTCTAGTTCTAACCCTAAACCCCTAAACCCCTAAACCCTAAACCCTAAACCCTCAACCGGTGAGTTCTTTTGCTCTTTCTCCTGCGGAGGATGAGGGGTCTGCTCTTATAGGACCCTTATAGTAACCCTTAAAGGAACCCTCATTATAATAACCCTTAAAGTAATCCCTACTTTGTCTTCTTCCGAATTTTGAGGGTGGCTCTGCTCAGGGCTTCCTAAAGGGCCTAGGGTTTAGGCTTTTTAGGGTTTAGGGTTTGGGGTTAGAGAGAGTAATAGTTTAGGGTCTAGGGTTGAGGGTTTAGGGTTTAGGCTTTTTAGGGTTTAGGGTTTAGGGTTAGAGCTAGAGAAGTAGGGTTTGGGGTTTAGGGTTTAGGGTTTATCAAAGGGGAAAAGGAGGGACCCTTAATGGGGACCCCTGCCCTATAACGGGCTATATAATGGGTAGATAATGGCTATATCTAGGGGTCCTTATTAAGGGTCCCTCCTTTTACCCTTGGAGTTTAGGCTTTAGGGTTTAAGGTTTAGGGTTCAGGGTTTAGGCTTTAGGAAGTATCCTTTGATGGGCCGGATTCCGGTAGAAAGGCGGGCATACTCGATTTACCTTGACATATCTAGGTCGCGATTCTTGGTCTAGCTGCTTCTAGGGTTGGATCCTGTTTTTTGCTATCGGGGCACAGGGCTGTTGTTCGTGCACGCATTTTCTACCATCGCGGAGGGCGAGGCTTCGGAGGGTTTGGGGTTCTCGCACTACGGGTGTTAGGGCCCAGCTAGTAAACCGCAACTTCTAAGCCAAACCCGGGGGTGTCAGCTCCCGCCAAGCACCCAGCCGGCTACGAACCTTCAGCTCTGGCCCCCAGCTTTACATCCAAAATTCTGAAACACCTACGCCTTGAAGCCGAAATTTGAACTCGAAGCCCAAAGCCTCACGCATTAGATCCCTAAGTCCCAAACCCTGAAGCCGAGCGTGTATGCACCTTAGAAGGCCTTCAAAAAGGAAGACGCTTTAGTCTGGGAGCAACCTCTTTTGCTTGCCAGGTGTGGGACTTTCAGGGGTATTTCTGCACCCACAACTTCAAGGGCCATGCGGGCATTGTAACGCTGGTGCCGGCGCCTTAGCTCGGGGGAATTTGAGCGGTTCCATTGGCCTGTGGTGCAATTCAGCAACTTGCAGGGGCTGGGGGACCTTTGTTCAGTAGAGCTTTGTTCGAGGGCCTAAAGCCCAAGCCCCGCAACTTCACATCGAGCTCGCTCCATACAACCCCGGCGTAAACTAGTCGCTACAGAATCCCGAGTATTTAGACCTTCTAAAGGGAACTCCAGAAAGTTGGAATATGGTTTCAGGGTAGGATCCCCTATAATTTACCATAAAGGGCTTAGGATAATCATATTCCAACTTTCTGGCTTTTACTGTAGGTACAGGGCTTCAGGAAACCCTTTGTAGCCCCCCCCCCTTGCAGCTCGGAGCCCCAAAACGCTGCGCAAGAGCATCCTAAACCCTAAACCAAAAAGTGTGTAAAACTGTACAGGCTTCTAAAGCCGGGTCCAGAAGCAGTACCAACAGAGCCACGCATTATTAACATGATTGCTTGGTTCTGTAAAGCTAGAGCCTAAAGAGCTTCATGACTGCTTCAGAAAGCCTTATCAAGCATCGCTGAGTCTGTGTACCCTAAACCCTACACAATAAACTCTTGAGTCCTTAACCCCAAAAGCCTCGACCCTTGAAGCCCTGAGCTTGTCAAAAGCTACAAACCCTAAACGCTCAACACTAAACCCTCCATCCTTAAGCCTTAACCCTAAACCTTCAACCCCAAACCCTCAACCCTAAGCCCTCAACCCGAAACCCTCAACCCTAAACCCTCAACCCAACACCTCAACCCTAAACCCTCAGCCCTAAACCCTCAACCCTAAACCCTCAACCCTAAACCCTTAGCCCTAAACCCAAAACCCGTAGCCACCGAGGCGCTTCCATCCTGCGCGGCTGCAGCTCGTCACAGTGGCCAACACGGAGGCGAGGGTTTAGGGTTTAGGGCTTTTTAGGGTTTAGGAATTACCTTAACCCGGAAGAACCTACCTTTTTAAGGACAGATATAAGGAAATCATAACGAGGAACCCGAAAAAGGTAGGTTATTCAGGGTTAAGGTAGGGTTTAGGGTTGAGGTGCTCCGCTTTGGGCTTCGGGGGTTTGCGATTTGCTAGGAGCTTTGTAATGTAAGGCTTGGCTCAGAGGTTTGGGGTTTTCAGAGTGAAGGTTGATGGCAGTCTGAGGGTTCTGGATTCTAGTAGCCCTAAACCCTAAACCGTTCTAGTAGGGTTTTGGCGGTTCGAGGCTTCCTTGGGTGCAGTTTGCAGGTTCAGTTGGACGGTGTCTTGGCTTTTTGTGGATGTAGGCTATGCATTCATGCTGCCCCCCCTGTCCGTCGATATTCACTTCAAGGGAAGCTGGTCACGAGCTTTGCAAGTCTCAAAAATTATCGGCCAGCGTGTTGCAGGGGTTGTGGACGGCAGCACGCTGCGATCAGGTCGTTCTCGAAGAGAGCAAGTGTTTGGGCTGTCTGGCCGGACTGGTTGCTCCTGCCCGACCCGTCTTCTCCACTGGCATGCAAGGCTATAGTTTGTATTAGAAGAGCATAAGAGGTTAGGCTGCTCTCAGGTTTCGGTTTTGGATTGTCGAGTCGTTATGCTGAGCCCTCCGAGCCGACATCTTGAACGCAAAAGGGTAGTGGCTCAAGCAGTAGTTTCTCACGACAGCCCCCAGCTGTTTAGAGAATGATCGACTTGTATTTCTTCACAGACCGGGCAGCCACGAAAGACGCGGTACCTTTGCCCGCACTGTGCCATGACATGGCTCTTTTCTCCATCGCTTTACAAGTGCTGCTCCTCGTGCTAATCCTTGCGTGCATGATATTTACGGCTCTGTTTGAGCGCCTTGCGAGTGTCTTGCGTGCCAGAAGTGTTGCCTTAAAGGAGTCAGCACAGGAGTTCAGGATTGAGCTGCAGCCGCCGTGCAAATGCCTGCGGTTTGCCATCAAATGGGATCCTGACATACGACTGATGATCAACACCCTCAAGAAGGAGGGTGAAGAAGGCCTTACGAGATTTCTGGAGAACGAGGTCTTCGTGTGGAAGCTGCGGAGCTATACCCGCAACATGGTCTCCAAGGCATTCAAAGCAAATATCAAGCAAGATATGATAAAGCTGAGGCAGCAGAGGCAGCTTCGCGCAAGATCTGCGCAGAAGACCCCCGAGCAGGATGTGCAAGACCGACATGCTCTACGAGAGCTCTTGAAGCAAGCGGACCAAGCGGCGGCTGCTGCTCAGGCACCGCTGGTGCAAGAGCAGGTACCCGAGGTGCGCGAACCTCTGGCCGTCGCCAACGCGCAGAAGAAGCCGACAGCTACCCAGATGTCACTCGAGGATGCAGCTGCACTGGCGGCTATGAGGGCAGTTGAGCCCACGAACAGCCTGACAGCAGCAGGCGAGGCCGAGCAACCCCAGGTATCTGATGCCTTTCTAAAAATGCTCATCGAAACATCAAAGAAGAAGCCAATGCAGATGTGCACCGCGGAAACTTCAGTAACGACATCTATGGTGGCCGGCGAGGATGGAAGCAGTTCACCTGAAGCCTTACAGGCAGAGCAAAACTTGAACGGAGAGGCGGCGGATGCATTTGGGCAGTTTCGGACTGAAGATTCGCAGAAGAAGCGAAGCGACGCTCAGATGTCTTTTGAGGATGCTGCCGCGCTGATTTTATTGATGGCAGAAAAACCAGCAAGCAACACTGAAGGGCCGCAGACTGAAACATCCGCGACAAAAGTCTCTCCATGCGACACGGACGGTTGGGATTACGATGACTTCTGGGCTCACATCGATGTCAACTTGCCACCACACTTGGCAGCAGCCAAGCTTTTTGCTGCCATGGGTATTACTGAAGATTCTGCAAGCATCACCGTTGCTCCTGCCATGCCCAGGAGCAGCATGCACAACGAGGATCCCTTCATGGGCTTTTGGGACAAGATAGATGCCAGCATGTCGCCAGAACTGGTGGCAACTAAGCTCCTCAATGCCAATTTCGTAAAAGCCTACTGAACGGTGCGAGGAGTGCACGTGCCAAAGAGCACTGCAAACTTGCAATGTAAGGCCGTCAAGTTTGGGCAGCGATCTGAACAAGTAGCCGAGTAGCCCAATTAGTAGTTCCTTACACGCAACTTGCATCTAGGGCTTCAATCCTTGATTGTCTAAGGGCTGGAGGGAATATTTTTGCCATTTGACTGCTCACGCTTGCTTGGCACGTCACTTATGCGTGTCTTGTGCTGTGTGGCGTTGGACGGCATTTGTGCTTCAGGTGTCAAGACAGCAATCAAGCTTCACCAATAAATTGCACGGAGACTTCACTAGTCAGACAATCCACCTGAAGCCTTTGCGTCCTCCTGATGTCTGACGGTTCGTCAGATGCAAGCCCTGCAGTTGCATCGTCTTTGAGAGATGTACCAACTTCAAAGCGGACAGAGTCTGCCGAGCCCCGGAGCCAAAGCAGGCCCGACTGCTTGCACAAATCGTTAAGACGCTAAGCAGTCTGCAGCGCTAGGAAGGTTTAGTACGAATCCCAATGAGAGCAGAAAGCCCCATACGATAAACGTCCTCACTTCAACCTCGCACACAATGTACGAAAAAGGAAGCCCGCCATGCCGAAACTAAAGCCCAAATCGTCGTGCTTCCAGCACAAGAATTAAGTTACGGTGCCCTTGTTGGAAGCAGAAATCGTCAAGCCCCGGACCCTGCAATAAACATCGAAATGTTAACAACAATGCCATTAGAAATATGAAGTTCCGGATCTTTATTGATAGTACTATTGATACAATTACTGACATTCTTCTCATTCTCATTGTTACTAATAGTATTGTTTTGTTGCTATAGCTATTATGACAATTATTTTTATTATTGTTATTATTATTATTATGATTTCTATTCCGAATAGTATGCTTACAGCTATTTGTTCTCAATACTTGTTTTATGTTTACTGTTATTGTTATGTGTGTATCTGTTCTTCTTCTTCTGCTTCTTCTTATTGATGCTTTGGGCACGGCCCCCACTCAGTAATAGTTGAATAATATTCATAATATAGATATAGAGGACCTTAATAGTAGCCTTATTTTAGGATCTGACTGTATGGGGGCAGTACCTAAGTTACCACCCCTACGAAGGTACGGCTGTGGGACTTGGAGTCCTCCGTCTGCGTCGCGGTCCTCAAGGACCCTTCTCCTTGCTGAGAGAGAGGGAAGCAATGGTTTAGGGTTAGGGTTTTGGGGTTTGGGGCTTTAGGGGGTTTAGGGGTTTGTGGAAGCAAGATGGTTCACGACAACAGTAAGAGCCCCTCATACTAAGAACCTATTGCAGAGTAATACGCGGTGACGAACCGCGAGGCTAGAAGTGATAATAACACTTACAGCGACTGACAAGTATAGGTTATAGAATACGAAAGGTGGATCGCGCCTAGAAGCTGGGGTGTTGAACGGCTGGGATTTTCAAAGTCTGAAGCGGTCCTAGAAAATGCGGTTCCTGGCGAAGGAGGAGCCGGTGTAGTCGGGACCGTAGCGATAGTGCGACACTCTTTGCATCAATGAAGGAAGCACAAGCCACCATGCAGCAGAGTCATGAGTCGCACCTGGATTTCGTAGGAACCGAATCACTGCTTTCAAGAAAGGAGAGGGTTTTGTCGCAATCCTGCGAGGATGTCTGTTGGGTGGTACCGCAGTCAAGCTACACTATCTGTGGCTGCATGTTTTGGACTGGGACGTGCTTCAGGAAGAAATGGCCTGGTATGTCAGGTTAGCTTAGAAAGCACACAAACTCACGACCCTACTGTAGATGATATAAATCCTGCATGACCCATAATAAGGAATGTACCATAATTCTCATAGTTAGGGTCCAATAATTCCCATAGTTAGGGTCCTTAAGGTAATGCAGGATTTGTATCATCAACAGTAGTTCCCAATTCCGGCAAGCCTTAGCCCTGTTTCCCAACCCTCAAGCTGACGACAGTGAGCACAGCCCAGGATCATCTGTCCAGCATCTCTTCGATGTGCTTCGGTGCGACCGGTTTGAGTTGTCAGGGCATTGCAAGCTCGTTAGAGTCGACGGCAATAGCGACGGCCCACCATGTCTGCTTCTGCCACCTCCAGTACTGCTACTGCTGATGTTGCTGCTGCTGATGCCGCACCGCTTGGGGAAGCAGTGACAATTGGTTTCTGCTGTTTTTGTCATCCTCCTTCTTCCCCTCTCCATTGTTAACATCAAGATGGTATTATTTTGGTGGTGGAGAAGATCATGCTCCTCAACCTCCCCCTCCTCCTCCTCCTCCTCCTCCTCCTCGTCCTCCTCCTCCTTCCCACCCTCCATCACCATCACCATCACCATCACCACCACCATCTCCACCATCATCATCATCGTCGTCATGGTCGTCCCTGCCACCATGATCAATGGTGGCACGGGTCATTGATTGCCAGTGCCATTGCTATCACCATCCTCCTGCTGCTGCTCCTTCTCCTCCTCCTCCTCCTCATCATCACCGTCGCCTTCATCTTCATCACAGTTGCCAAGGCTTGCAATGATGTACTTCTTGATGCTTATCCGTTCGTTCTCTCTCACCATCCTGGGTATCATCATAGCCATCAGCCACCATCTTCACAGCCACTATCTTCATCTTCATTCTCCCACACAGCTTCTGTTGTCCGTGTGCATGCAGTTTGCCTGAAGGCTGTCCGATGTGTGACCACGGTTACAACAGGGACTTTCTAGCACTTTGTCTAGGCTTCTGCTTCTCTTGCCACCCTTCTGCAATGACCCTAAGCCCTAAAGTCAAGTAATCGATCCTGAGCCCTGGCATCCCAAGACTGGATGCCCAGACACCGAAGATGCCCGGCAGCCTTCACCCTCACACGGGGAGGAAACATGGGTGGAGCCCATGGAGAATGGTCAAAGACAGCCCGATCTGGGCTGTCGAGGGCTCCACTGGACTTAAAAGTTCAAAATCCACCAGAGTACCGTGATTTTCCCTCGGTGGCCCCAGGAGGTTTCAGAAGCCTTAGAATACAGTCTTCCCAGAGTCTGAAAAGGCCTCTTACCAACATAGTGTGGGAATTGAGGGCGTAAGCCCGAAACCCCAACAGGACATGGTGTGGGTGGTTGCACAGGGGGCGGGTAGAAAGAACTTCCGGCTTCACCGAGTTCGGTCACAGGGCACAAGGAAGGTCGCTTGACGCGAAATTTGCCACCCCGACAAACCCTGCTGCCATCTCAGCATGGATTAGCGGCCCGCTGTGTGGGAAGAGACCCTAAACCCCGAAACCCCTAAACGCTAAAATCCTAGAACCCAAAAACTCTGAACCCCGAACCCCGACCCCAAAACCCGAAAACGTGCGTGGCTCCGTCTGGTCTGCAGGCCCTGTGAAGTCCAAGCTCTACCAGCTCGTCACCGGCGGTCGTGACCAGGCCTTTGTCGACTCTTCGGGTTTGAGAGCCTTTGGGTGCCTAGTTTGGTTTTCTTGAGTTTTACAGGGTTTGCGAGCTTTTGGGTGCCTACTTCGGGTTTCTTGGGTTTTAAGGGGTTTTGGGGTTGATGGTTGAGAGTTTCTTAAATTTTAAAATGTTGTGTGTCCAGGTTTCAGTTTTTCCCTTGTAGGGTTTGGGTTGCAAGTGTTTAGTGCAACTGAATTTGGGGTTCGGGCGGTTTGGCTTTGGGCTTGGGATTTTGGATCTCTTGGATTCGGGGAACCTTGTGCCAAAGCCCGAAGCTCAAGACCCAAAATCCCGAGCCATAATCCCTCTAAGCCTTAAGCCCTAAACCCACAAATCCAAAGACTTGGTGTCCTCACGCTTTCTGTTAAAAACCCTAAACACCCAAAGCCCTGGAAGCCCAAAGAGTGGAGCTCCAAACGACTCTGAACCCTAAGACCCGAAACCTCAAAGTCTTATTTGTGATGCCCAATTGCCACAGCGTAATCCTGTATGTAGAACAGCCTCCAAGAGCAACAGCAGCATAAAGCTTGGCCTGAGAATCCCACAACGGGAAGCCCTAAATTCAAATTTCCGTCAACCCTGAACCCGTGCTTCGGTGTTTCAAGGCCCAATCTTCTCGCGTAGTGGTTTCGGGGTTTTGGGGCTTTCGGACTGTGGGGAGGATCTTTTTGAGTGCAAGGAGTCTTGGGGTGTTCCGGGCTCAGGGTTCGGTTCAGGGATTAGGGATTAGGGATTTAGGGTTTAAGGTTTAGGATTTAGGGGTTGAGGGGAGTGTGCATTGGGAGTGCTGTTGTCAGGTCGTGAACGTTTGGAACCTGGAGGAAAAGTGCTCTCTGGTGCCTTTCGGCAGCACTCTGGCAGGTCCCTGTATGGAATGAATGTGAACATTGTGATCGGGAAGCGAAACACGTATGCAGCTAACTGATAAAGGTTTAGCATTGCAGAGCATGGCGGATTTCGCCCAGAAGACGTGCTTGTTTCGGCACGAATGATCTTGACAGCTTGTCTTTCGTCTGGTAGCAGCCCTAAGCAACACAGACCTACACCTGGAAAGTGCTCAGGGATTAAGCACAGAGTTTGGACTCCCAGCCGCAGCTGAAAGGTATGCTTTCTCCAATGTGCACCAGTTACGTTTCATCATCGGCCCAGTTGTTCTTTGAGGTTTTGAAAGGCTGTCTAAAATGCGACGAAAAGATAGACGTCTTCCTCATTCCTTCACTCCCTCCCCTAAATAGCATGTTGGGTTCGGGACCGATGGTTTAGGTGTATAGTAAAAGCCAGAAAGTTGGAATATGATTATCCTAAACCCTTTATGGTAAATTATAGGGTATCCTACCCCGAAACCATATTCCAACTTTCTGGAGTTCCCTTTATGGGATCCCAACTAGACCCGGCCTTGAAACTCATGCAGCATTTACAGATGCACGCACATATGCGCCTTTTGAAGCCCCGCTTGGCCGTAGCCCTTCGATGCCATGGGAGACTTTCTAAGCAGAAGCACAGACTCTTGCAGTCCTAGGCCTTGAGGGTTTTCGGGTTCAGGGGGTTTAGGGTTTAGGGTTTTGGGAGTTTAGGGTTTAGGGTTTAGGGGTTTAGGGTTTAGGGTTTAGGGTTTAGGGTCTGTGGTCCTTCATACCTTCTCCAGAAGCTTTTGGTACGGCCATAGCCATACCCTGCACAGAGCAACTCAAGGACATTGTAGAGGGGATTGGAATGGCTGTTTGAGATAGAACATAAGCCCTAAACCCGAAAAGACTGTAAAGTTGCACAGAACAATATACGATCTTATAAGCAAGTTTTGCAAAGCAGGGTACCGTTCACCCCGAAGTTATGAGGACTCCATTAAGGGTACTATCAGGGTTCCCATAAGTGTACCATAAGAGGTCCTGTGTTGTATAGGGGTTGCTATAAAGGGGTCCCTGTTCTAGAACCCCATAGTACCCTTCAAGGATCCCTCAAAAGACCATTAAAGGATCCCTTAAAGGACCCTTTCGAGGGTGCTATGAGGGTTCCTACAAAGGAGTCCCTCATAGTACCCTTAAAGGATCCCTCGAAGGACCCTTTAAAGGATCCCTTAAAGGATCCCTTGAGGGTCCGATATTCTACAACGTGTAGCCTTAAAGAATCCTTAGAGGACCCGTTAATGGATCCCTTAAAAGATCCCTGAAAGGACCCCTTTCAGGATCCCTCAAAGGATAGCTAAAGGGTCCTTTTTGGGTTCCTACTGTCTCCCAGGCGCTCCATCCCGGTTCGGGGCCCGGATCATTTCAGGGAGCCCAAAGATCTCTGGACGAGAGGGTCCTGCTTTGGGGTTTAGGGTTTAGGGTTTTTAAAGCTTTTAGGATTTACAGGGTTTGTAAGGCTTTTAGGGCTTAGGGTTTAGGGTTTAAGGTTTGGGGTTTCGGGCTTGGGGTTGAGTTTCGGGCTTGGGGTTGAGGGTTTTGAGTTTAGGGAGTTTAAGGGTTAGGGTTTAGGGTTCACGGTCATGTTTTGGGGTTTAGGGTGTTGGGATGCACACGATAGTTCCTTTTTAAGGATATGTGCTATATAGTTCTGGTAGAGCTTCTGTTTACAACCTCGGGCACTGGGCTATGCGATGGCTACCTTCGGGCCATTGATGTTCGCAGTTGCATGGGTATGTGCGTTTAGTATCGGGATTTTGGAGTTTCGTCGCGATCAGAGTTTGATGGGCTTTCGAGCTTTCAGACCTTATAGTAGCCTCCATAGTCCCCTAGACTAGTCCTCATGGTACTTGTGGTAGGTAAAATCCTGGTTTGGCGCCTGCTTCGGGGGTGCAAGTTACAGAAGTTCGCGGCACAATTCCTGCCAAGAGTTCTTTTTCCTGGTGGGAGTTTGGGCGTCAAAGTTTCAGAATTTTACTGTAGGGGGAGAACTCGTGAACACTGACGACATCGGCGACATAAAGTAAAGTTCGATTATAACTCTGAGCCTTAAACCCCAACCATGTCGGCCGGTGTGGGGAGTTTTTGCTTCGGAACCTAGGGTGTCAAGGCACTATACCCCAAGACCTAAGCTTGCGTGTAAACCTGTGATCCTGAAACCTAAACGGACCTAAATCCAGAGTCCCAACATTGGGGCAGGAATAATGAGTATTCGTGTTCCCTTTTCGTCCGCTTTGATGTAAATGGCAGCATAGTGTAGTATAGCACCAAAGCCTGTTCGCATTGTAAATGCCCTCATGTTACATCTGAAGTTGTAAAACTCGTACACTCTAAACTCCAAAAGCCGAAGACCCACGGCAGGAAAATGGGGGGGCGGGGTACAGAGCCGTTGCCAGGTTGGTTAGTTGGGGCTCCCGGCGATACTGCGCTCTTGGTACTTGTTTTCCTTATTTCAGGGTCGAGGTTTTGGGGCTTTAGACTGTCAAAGGTTCAGAGTTCTGTTTGCGGCCTTGGACCCTAAGCCCTAAACTCCTACCCCTAAACCCAAAATCCTGACCCCTAAATCCTAAAACCTAAACCCAAGCCCCTAAAACCTGAAACCCTAAACCCTAGCACCTAAACCCAAACCCCGAAAGCCCTGAACTCTAAACCCTAAACCCTCTCTGAAAGACCATGCCCAAAGAGCCTAAAACCTCCTCAGGTGTTTGAAAACGTGGAAGGCGTCGTTGCCGTGCTCTGGCTGGTATTAGCTTGGGTCGCCCTGCCTCTAATGTGGATGCATCACGTTTGCTTGCGGGTTTCTCTGCATTTTCCTTGCTTGCTCTTTCTACTGTCGTTCATGTTCTTTCTGCCCTACTTTGATGATTCCTAAATCCGAGACCCCTAAGCCCCGAAACTCCTAAGCCCCAAATCCTTAAACCCAAATGCTACTGTTCTTTACCACTGCTCGTCCTGGGCGGTCCCTAATTGCCCTCCTAACCCCTAAACCCCAAACCCTTTACCCTAAAACCTAAACCCCAACCCCTAAAACGGCCCTAAAACCTCAAACCCTAAACTCTAAACCCTCAACCCAAACCCCGTAAACCCTAAACCCTAAACCCGAAACCCGTCTTTTTGGCATGGTGCTGCCAGATTCCAACGAAGCGACTACGGCAGCAGTGCTCGGCACTTGGATGACCGACAGTGCTTCAGCAGTGTGTAATATAGCGCCTGAATAAATACCTAAAAGGGGTCTTTGAGGGTTACTATAATTCTATTATAAAGGGGTACTATAAGGGCTTAGTATCGGGGCCTTAAGAACTACCTATACTATTTTGGGGGTTCCTTAATGTAGTTATAGTACAATGGGCCTCAAAATTATTTTCTAGTTGTTAAGGCCCCTATAGTATGCTACATGGGAGCATCGCCGGTCGGGTTAGGGCAGAAATTTACCGCCTGCACCCTCCAGCCTTGTCCAAAATGGCAAAAGCTTGCATGTCCCTGTGCCCTTATAGTTATAGCACCTTTTTATTAGTGTGCTTTGATCATCAATAAGATAGTACCCTTACTCCTTAGTACTCTTTCTACACTTATCCTTACTATAGTGGCTTGATTAACGTACCCTGACTCTTCTAGTACTCTTAGTACAGTAACCCAAAAGAAGCCCATGACCGGAGCTCAGGTAAGGAGGCGCACTCCGACTGCGGGCCGTTCAGTGCTTGGCTGAGGGAGGACCGGCTCCTGGAACTCAGGTCTTTGGGTGTGGGGGGTTGACGGTTTTCGGGTTTGGGGTCACTTGCTGGTTTCAGAGCTTCGGGTTGAGGGGCCAGGATCTTGCATTCGAGCCTATGTGTATGGGGTTGCAGATTACACAGGCAAGCAGGATCCAGGGTTGTGATTTCGGTTCGGGTTGAGGGGTTCAGCTTGGGGACTTTGCCTCTCGAAGCTTTATGAGGTTTACGGTAGGGTTAAGGGTTTCAGGGCGTAGCTTTGGGTCTTTACTGTTCAGAGTTTTGGCGGACCCGAAACCCTAAACCCTAAACCCCTAAACCCGAATCCCTAGGGGGCAAAACTGTTGGGTCAAAATGCTCAGTACGAGCAGAGGTTGAAGCTTGCGGAAGCTGCGCCCAAGTCTTGGAGAATTTGCCAGACCTCGTCCCTACAACCCTGAAGCCCCGAGTCTCTAGGGAGTCGTTATTGCTGATCTGTTACATAACATGAGTATGGGTGGTTGTCAAAATTATGGTCCCTTTTGGGGTACCCTAAATATTAGGTGCAGTATTATAATAGGGACCCAAAAACGGACCATTATTTTGACAACCATCCACATAAACATGAATGTATTATCACAGCCACAGTTATTTGTAGTACTATCATGCTTATTCTTGTGATGTTTATATGTTTATATTTCAAAGGAATCCGATCAGCAAAGGCACAGGAGCCGAAGCTTCAAACAGCAAGAGCAAAGAACCCCATGGATGTCCCACATGGATAGCTCTCATAATTCGGGTCCCCGTTTATGACCCCAACAGAATACGGCACCCTTATAAAGAGGGCCCTAAAAGAGGCACCCTAATTCTCACAACCACCTCCGAAATCTCTGACTATCCCGTGAGGACGAGCAGTCGGGCACTCAGCGAGAAGTGCTGAAAGACGGGCTCTACTCCACTTCGCTGGGTTCTGGATTACAACCCCAGTTTGAGGATTCATTGTTGGCGGTTTAGGCTTCCTTGCAGGCTTTGGGCTTTAGGGCTTTCGGGAATTTTGAGCCCATCCCCTGCGTCCAAGACTACAACAGTCGATGCAGCCGAGGCCTCCACCCTTCGTGATTTTCACCGTGGGGAACAAAGGCCCGGTTTCTTTTGCTCGTTGTGCAGCTGAGCAGGCGACATGTCGCAATAAACAGTTTCCTCTGGAGTTGTTCAGCTTGCCATCCCAAGTGACTGGGACTACGACTACCGTTGCGATCCGCAGCAGCAGCACCATCATCATCATTACTGCTGTTGTGCCAGAGCTTTTCCTGCTGCTGCTGCTGCTATCACCATTGCACTACTGCAGCGGCTGCTCAGCTGATACTGCCACGACTGCTGCGGTTATTTCGCATGCCAAATGAAGAGGATTATGCCTGTTTGGCCTTATTACCCTAAACCCGGCATCATAAACTCATAGGGATCCTTAGGGGTGTACGGGGGAGGGGTGTAGGGGACTATATTTCCTTAAATAGGCCTTATTAGTCCTTATTATGGGTCTTAAGGCCCCCTACCCCCCTCCCCCTACACCCCTAAGGATCCCTATGAAAACCCGGCATCATAAACCCTGCGTCCGAAACACGCATAGTCGACGATTCGATTTTCTTCTCTGTTTAGCCTTCTCAGCTTCCAGATCGGCTCATTTCACAGGTCGCCTGTAAAACCCTGAACCCTAAACCCTATATGGGGAGCGGTCAAAATTAAGGTCCCTTTTTGGGTACTCTAAATGCTGGGTGCCGTAGTATAATAGGAACCCAAAAAGGGACCATAGTTTTGACAACCACCCATATAAGACCTAAATCTTAAAGCCGAGCCCTCAGGCGTGGTCCGCGCCTGGAATCCACTCGACGGCAAGGCTGTCGCCAGCCACGTCGCTTCCTCAGAGTGCGGTGCCTGCTCTGGCCGGGCAGGGTTTGGGGTTTGGGTGTTAGAGTGTAGGGTTTCAGAGGGTTTGGGGTTTCTTTCAGGGTGTGATGTCGTACAATGCCCTCGGCACAGAGACATTGCCTATAACCCCTCCGAACACAAAAACTCATGTCGTGCTCTGTCACAGTGTACTACCGAAGGGGAAGAGCAAGGCTTTAAGACTGACTGGGTTGAATGTTTCGGAGGCTGCTCCACTGCATGAAAGTCTCTTACATGTTCTTATGCTTCGCAAATCAGAGGCTTCTGCAAAGAATGTTTGAAAGCACATTGCAGCGATAATTGAAGCGACCAGCTGAGTCAGTTCACCACGAAGTTGTAGTATGTAGCCGTATTAAGTAATGGCCACGCTTAGCCCCTAAACCCTAAACCGTTAACCCCTAAATCGTTCACCCTAAACCCTAAACCCGACGGACAATTGGGCGCCGTCTCGTCCGGGCTGTTCTGAGCGCTCAGGACTCTCCGCACGCAGCCAAAGGTGAGCTGCGCCAAATCCACTGCCGGGTGCTTTGGTTTAGGGTTTAGGGTTTAGGGTTTCGGGTTTAGGCTTTAGGGTTTCGGGTTTAGGGCTTAGGGTTTAGGGTTTAGGTGCGAAGGGCTGTGCCAGAACCAGGCAATATGGAAGGCTGAATAATTTTCAAAAGTTTAACATACTCTTGCAACTCCTTTTATAACTATGCCAGAACATGCCCCAATACTTTGTTCACAGTGTATTGATTCGACTTCTGCAATGAATTAGCAGAAAGTCTGTTTGTTCGTTGCACACAGTCTCTCAGGATGCATATTTCGTCTTTTGTTAGCTGTTCGTCGATAGGCTTTAGCCCGCATCACCCAAAAACCAGGCTATGGTTGATCAAGCTCTTGTAGTGATGGTTACAGCACTATCGATATGACGGTTGACTATGAAGGCCCTTCTGGTTGGTTGTCAAAATCAGGGTCCCCGTTTTTGGTGCCCTAAATATTAAGTGCCGTATCCTATTAAGGTCCCAGTTTTGACAACCAGCCATGTATTGTGTTATACATCAGAAGCTGCCCCCACCCTGTAATAGTGACTATGAGGATTATATTAGGGCCCTCTTATATTCCTATTATACCACTATTACAGGGTGGGGGCAGCTTCTATGTTGTACATCACGCCGCCTTAGCCGAGGAAGAGCCGGCCGGGCAGGAGCAGCAGATTCGTAAGGCCCTCCCAAGCAACCCGTGGAGCCCACACTGAAAGAATCAGACTTCTCCATAGAATATATATATATATATATATATATATATGGAAAATATACATAATATTTGTTATGTATCGCTTGTTCCGCTTTAACTCAAAACATGTTCCTTAGTTACTGGGTACGTAGGCTCCCGGGAAACCCCTGAACAAACAAATTTCCCAGACACCCAAGCCCCGAATACTGAGACCCTTAACCTTCGAACCAACACTGTAAACCGTAGCAGCAGGCCCTACACCCTAAGCTTTAGACCCCTTAACCCACAAGTCCTTTACCTTGCCATTTACACGATTGGCCTTGGACAAAAGAGCACATCCACAAGACCAGGTTTGGACGCCAGCGGTGGCACCAAGATGGTGACCGTCGGCGAGGTCCACCACCTTGGTTTTGTCCATCAGGTGTACTGATATAGTCATGGCGATTATTGTCGTCAGACTGACACCCAGGCGCTGATGATTGCCAATTAAGTCAGATGGAGGCTTCAAGCTATTACGGTGGAGGTTTTGAGAATCCAGGGCTTTGAGTTTGGACTTTCTGCATCAGCAAAAAGGTTATATAGCAAGACTGTTTGGTGTCGGAATCCCAAACTCCAAGCGCAGCAAAGCTTGAACCTCAATGCGGGCTGTTGTCTTGAGGATTGAGTTTCAGCATGGGTTTTGGTGGCTGAGGGTTCAGTGTGTGGACTTTTTGGTACTTGCAGGATCATGGGATTTAGTAAGTAAGGTTATAAGTACCATAATTGGGGTTATAAGTAGTTATAAGAATAGTTACCCTAATTATAAGTCTAGTTACTAAGTCCCATGATCCTTTAAGTAGGGGACCAAGTATGGTTTTGGACTCATGGTTGGACCGGCATGTCCTGTTCACGACTCGGCAGGGTGGTGTGCGCCTGCACTCTATGCGGCATCGCAACCCAATCAGGGGTGTTTCGATGTGAGCAGCTTTTTCTTTTCCAGCAGTTTCGGACTCTAAACTAAAAGAACTTCAAACCCTAGACTGACACTAGCAGTACTACTCTAGATTCTCTTGCAGTTGATGCTGGTAAAGAACCTCTAAAACCCTCCACCAGGACATGAATCTCATGATCTGGTCGCTGCCGGAGTTTGAAGTCAGCAGCCACATCATGGGCCGCAGCCCTGGGAATCTTTTTGGGCTTAGGTTTCGGGTTAAGGATTTGGGGTTTTAGGGTTTAGGGTTTAGGGTTTAGTTCGGGTTTAGGATTTGGGTTTTAGGGTTTAGGGTTTAGGGTTTAGGGTTTTGGGGTTTAGGGTTTCAGGGTTTAGGGTGTTTCGGTGGGGGCGCAGTTTGGAGACGATCGCAGGTGGTTTGGGGTTGGTGCTCTCCGGCTTGGATGGCTCCTAATCCTGGGTTGCTTGGAGAAGTCCTTGCATTCAGCCTTTGATCGCAGATTTCCCGAGCTATTTTGGCCTTTCTAGCGTGTGCGCTGAACTCCTCCGAAACGAGACCAGCTTTGCTACCTTCTGCATCATGGGCGGTGGCGCTTCCAAGACTTCCGGTGCTGCTTCCGCACCGTGCCCTGCGGGCCCTCCAGCCAAGGGGCTGACCCCTCAGAAGAAAGCAGCCAGCCCCAGTGTCGCCATCATCTACTATTCCACCTACGGCCACATCAAGGCCGTGGCCGATGAGATCAAGGTAGGTTTGGAAGCTGCCGGGGTAAACGTCGACCTCTTCCAAGTTCCCGAGACGCTTCCAGCAGAGGTGCTGAAGGCGATGTCAGCACCCGGAAAGCCCGAGGACGTGATGACGTTGGACTACGACTTCCTCAAGGAGCTTCCTAACTATGATGGTTTCATGTTCGGCATGCCCACGCGTTTCGGCATGATGGCAGGGCAGATGAAGACGTTTTTCGACAGCACCGGACAGCTGTGGGCGTCTGGGGCATTGGCCGGCAAATTGGCCGCCACCTTCGTCAGCACCGGCACCCAACAAGGCGGACAGGAGACGACCCACTTCACTGCCGTCACACAGCTGGTGCACCATGGCATGGCCTACGTGCCTTTGGGATATCAGGCGGGCGGCGAAGGCCAGTTCGACATGTCCGAGATCCACGGCGGCTCGCCTTGGGGTGCCAGCACCCTTGCTGGTGGAGATGGCAGCCGGCAACCTAGTGCCAAGGAGCTGGCAATTGCCAACAAGCAGGGCCAAGTATTTGGAGCCACGGTGGCCAAGGCGGCAGCAGCGAAGCCCGCCGAGCGTGAGCTGAAGGTCTGCATCGTGTACTACAGCCTCTATGGTCACGTCAAGAAGCTTGCTGACGAGATTGCTGGGTCCATGCGTGAGGAGGGAGTCACAGTGGACCTCTTCCAAGCTCCCGAGCTTCTCGGCCCCGAGGTCCTCGAGAAGATGGGTGCACCACCGAAGCCCGAGGATCCTGTAATGGATTACGCAGCTGTGTCGAAGCTCCCGGAGTACGATGGCATCATGTTCGGTCTGCCGACGCGCTTTGGTAGTGCATCTGCGCAGATGAAGTCGTTCTTTGACAGTACCGGTGGTCTGTGGCAGTCTGGTGCATTGGCCGGAAAGCTGGCTGCCAGCTTCGTGAGCACTGGCACCTTGAACGGTGGCCAGGAGTCGACACACATGACCACCCTGACTAACATGGTGCATCACGGCATGATTTACGTGCCTCTGGGCTACCAGGCAGGAGGGGACGGCCAGTTCGACATGTCCGAGATCCACGGCGGCTCGCCATGGGGTGCAAGCACCTATGCAGGGGCAGACGGAAGCCGCCAGCCCAGCGCAATGGAGATCAGCATCGCCAAGAGGCAGGGCAAGGTCTTTGCGGCTAAAGTGAAGCAGATGAGCCAGTGAGCTCAGAGTGAGTCCAGTCACATTTCCTGGATTGGCATGCATGAGGGTTCCTGGACATAGGATGGGACCGCAATGCCAAAGGCAAAATTTGATATTAGCTACAAGTAGCTGGTTGTTTGGAGTCCCTGGACAAATTATGGGACTCATGCCAGCATGGGAAGAGCTTGAGCCAGGAAGAATGCACTGCAGTCTTCCCTCGGCTTCATCTCAAAGACCCCAGCGCGAGTGAAACAGCCGGCACACATGACGAGGCTTGTTGCTGGACCCTTGCCCCTTAAGAGTCGAGCAAGAGACCTTGAAAGTACATGAAAGTACGGTATATTGCAATATCGTGTTATGTCATATGTTACTTCCCAGATCAAGATGTATACTATGATGTCACATCATGTTTTACTACATCGCAAAACCCTAAACCCTAAACCCTAAACCCTTAACCACCCTACCGTTTCCTGTCCAGCCAGCTGCAGGTCACAACGAAGAAGTTGTCCACGTCCAGCTCATCCCTCAAATCACTTGGCCGGGAACTTGGACTCAGCCCCAGGGTTTAGGGTTTAGGGTTTAGGGTGGCGGTATGAGATCATATCCCACATCTCTAGATGTTTTGACTTGGCTGGCATTGGTTTCTGCTTACTGTATTGCTTTTGCTGTGTCGAAGCGAGAGCTATCCCCGCAACCGTCTCCACAGTTACGACGACGATTACTCCCGCAGCTACCACTGCCCATGATGCTCATCACGGCCACAACTTCAAGTCCCAGTGAGCATGCACATCATCCCGAATCATGCCGTCATTACTCCGTCGGCGTCATCGTCATCGTCACCGTCATCATCGTCGAATCTTCATCATCATCATCATCATCGTCACCATCATAGAATCTTCATCATCATCATCATCCTTGTCGTCGTCGTTGACCTAAGCAAGGACCCCCGCTCCCTGCGCACCAGTGCAATCTTCCCTCACGATCATTCTTTGCCAGCATCCCCACAGCGGAGGCTTGGGGTTTAGGAAAATATGTGGCTTATAAGTACCCTAAACAAGATCTTTTTTGGAAACTCTAAACCCGCAGCCCTAAAACGGAGTTATAAGTACCCTACAAAGGGATCCTACGCCAAACCCCAAAGCCTTAAACCCCTAAACCCCAAAAGGGATCCTATCTGGGCTTCTCCCTAAACCCGAAACCGGAAACCCTAAACCCCTCAACCCAAAGCCCTAAACTCTAAACCCTAAATGCACCTAGACCCTAAACCCTACCCCACTTGGGCTTCTCCCTCAACCCGAAACCCTAAACCCTAAACTCCAAACTCTAAACCTCTCAACCCTAGGCGCTAATTCCAAAAACCACCCTTAAAACCCTAAACCCCCTTAAACCCTAAACCCTAAACTCCAACCCCTAAACCTTCTGATGCTTGTCCGCCATCGCCAGGCCGGAGGAGCAAGCGGACGGCTCTGGGACTTCGCCTCGGCCCCCAGCTCCCACAGAAGCAGGGTACAAGCCTCATTCCTCAACTTCGCGCGGTTCCGTCAACCAAGATTCCGTCAACCGCCCTTCCTTCAACCATCAGAAGCAGCGAGCGGTTTGGGGTTTGGGGTTCAGGGGGTTTGGGGGGATGGGGTGGAGGGGTTTGGGGTTTAGGGTTTGGCGGTTCAGGGGTTCAGGGTTTAGGGTGTCGCATTCGTATTTCAGTTTGGGGTTCTCATCGTTCTTTTTCAAAGGTTGAATTGTTCTTGCTCATAGTCCTCACACTTGCTTCTGTCGTCGTCGTTGTTCGAGCTGTGAGTTTTTCTATCAGAGTGCTACAAGCATCAGTCTTAGCATTGCAGCTCGTCAGCGTCTAGTCTTGGGACGGAACCAACTGCTGCAGATGTCGGCTTTGCAGGCTTGGAAAACTTACATATCATATTATGGGCGACACGGCGACGAGAAAGGTCAACAAATGGAAGGCAGACCCGCAAAGCCCAAACCCCCTGAAAAGCTGAAAGCTCCAGGGGCTCCACCCCACGCAGAGACTCCCATATCCCGTATTTAAGGAGTAAGTCATACTAAGAGGTCCTACTATAATTCAAGGTATATTCCGTAATTAAGGGATATAGGAGTCTCTGGGCATCCGGGCGAGGCCAGAGATAGTAGCGCAGCGATTTGTTTGCATCGCCAATGACGAGCACCCCAGGCGCACTCTTTGCGCGATCAAAGGGTTTAGGGTTTAGGCTTTAGGAGTTTGGGGTTTAGGGTTTGGGGTTTAGGGGACGGTTTCGGGTTCGAGGTCCAGCCTACTGGGAGAGAGCTGCATGCTTGCATTGAGTAGGTCTGCGTGCAGAAGATTGCCATGGTTCGGCTGTAATCCCATACCCTAAAACCCCCTGGCCCCTAACTCCTAAACCCTAAACCTGTAGCTCCTAAACCCCTGACCTTTAACTCCTAAACCCCAAACCCTTAAACTCCTAAACAGCAAACCTTTAACTCCTAAGCCTTAAACCTTTAACTCCTAAATCCCAAACCTTGAACTCCTAAATCCCAAACTTTAACTTCTTGTCGGTGGCAGCTGCCCTGCCTCTAGGGTGGTCACCTGCGAGGGCTTCGGGGCAAGCTTGCCCGGAGCCCAGCTCCAACTCGCTGCTTTTTTCGGGTGTAGGTATAACATGCGGGCCTTAATGATTAGAATTGGGCTTTTGGGCCAATTATGCAATAAGTATATCAGCCACTCCACGAAATAGTAGGGGTAACTATTTAGGCCCCGATATCATGCTTCTTTGGCGTCTGTATAGCATTGGGCTTGGGGTTTCGGGGGTAATAACAACATGGCCGAAGCTGTCTGCAGCACTGGTTAGGGTGTCAGCTGCGTTTCGTCATGGCCATGGTGTTCTGGTCGTCATGTGTCTCCGTGTCTGTCAGTGGGAACCCTGTGACTGTGAAGCCTAAATCCCTAATCCCTACACACTAAGCCGCAGCGCCCAGGCTCCCAGCCTCGAATCATGGACGAGCTTTCAACATTCTTAGGGACGGTCTAAACCCCAAACCCTAAAGAAAAAACCCAACTCCCAAATCCTAAACCCCTAACCCCCAAACCCTCAACTCGAAGGCTCCGGGGCCACACCGACGTGGTCATCTCCTGCGATGTTTCGCCTGACGGAGCTTGGATTGCTACCGGCGGTTCGGCCCCAAGCAGGGCAGGAGGGACTAGGGCTCCTGTAAAGGGATCTATAGGGTTCCTTGAAAGGGATCAGGGTTTGGGGTGTAGGGTTTTGGGGTCTGGGGGTTTAGGGTTTAGGGGTCTAAAAGTTTAAGGGTTTAAGGGTTTGGATGGGTTTAGGGGTTTAGGGTTTAGAGATTTAGGGTTTCGAACAATTATTATGTTTTTTCTCGGGCTCTCCTACACAGTGCAGAATGCACCAGGCCCCGTACATTTGAGTCTTGGGGCTGCTAGGGGTTCAGGGTGTTCGACCTTGGGGTCTTTGGGAGAAAGAGTTAGAGTTTGAGGGCTTTTAGGTTTTGGGGGTTTAGGGTTTAGGGTTTAGGGTTTAGGGGGGTGAGGTCCGCGGGTTTTGGGGGTTTGGGATTGCAAGACCCAAACCTTCCCTAAGCCGTGGGCCCTGAACCCTCAACAGAAGCACTCAAAACCCTTAAAAACCCTGAACCCTCTGAGCCTCTAAGGTTAGAAGTATGGGCCCCTAATATGGACCCTGGGCCTTTTCGGGGGATTCAACCTTAGCCTAAACAAAAATACAGAGATCTTAATAATTACCAATACTATTGTAGAGGCTCCTTATTCTAATTCTAGGTTCAAGTTATTAAGGCCCCTGCATTAAGCACCTTGAACCCTCTATACCTTTATTTGGGTCTCTAAACACTACTAAGGGTACTTTGTAGGAACACCCATTAAGGGATCAAAGACCAGTCCATCCGCATAACCCTAAACCCTAAACCACCCAAACCCTAAATCCAAAAACCCGAAACCCTACACCCCAAACCCTAAACCCCTAAACCCCTAAACCCTACACCCTAAACCCTGAACCCTACACCCTAAACCCCTAAACCCTAAACCCTAAACCCTAAACCCTAACTGAGGCAAAGACCAGTCCATCCGCATCTGGAGCTCCAGCACCTGCCAGTTCGCCGGCTCCTCAGAGCAACCCAGAGACTCCAATACCCCTTAGTTAAGGAATATCTAGGGTTAGGGTTCCTATTACGGGGGTCTATAATGGATCTAGAGGGTTTAGGGTTTAGGGGATTCCAATATCCATTAATTAAGGAATATACCTTAAATTATAGTCGGATCCTTAATATGATTTAAGGTATATTCCTTAATTAAAGGTTCGTCGGCTCCTCAGAGGAAGCCTCGAGCTGACCCTTTGGGTTAGTAGGGAATAGGGCTCTTGTAAAGGGATCTATAGGGGTTTAGGGTTCCTCTAAAGGGATCTTTACCTTTGGTTAGTAGGGAATGGAGGAATGGGGTTTAGGGTTTAGGGTTTAGGGTGGTAGGGTTTAGGGTTTAGGGTAGTAGGGTTTTTGGGTTTAGGGTTTAGGGTAGTAGGGAATTCAGGAATACAATTACTCCGATTATACTACCATTCTTCCATTCCCTACTAACCAAAGGTAGGCGAAGCGAGGCGGCAGCAGGCGGAAAGTCCAAAAACACTGAACCCGAAGCCGCGCAGACAGGAAAAAGGCTCTCAAAAAAAAAGCTCCCACACGGGCTAATTCCAAAGGATGATTTTTCTTACATAGGAGATCTGTTTCGGCATTTTGTCTTATTGAGTTTCTTCGGATCTTGTACAGCTATAACAGTTTATTGGGATCGTCTGCGACCCAGCCTCCTCTTTACATCGAGAGATCAGGTCGTTGTCGTGCTTGAGCCATGCGCACTTCCTGCCTGCATACGGGTGGTTGTCAAAACTATGGTCCTTCATGGGTCCTTAATATAGTACGGCACCTAATATTTAGGGCCCATTTTCGGAAACTCCCATGTTTCTTCGCAAGAAGCCCTGTTCAATCTGGTTGTTGTGTGGCATAAGACCCATTCAGTCGTCAGTAGGAACGGCTTCGGCTCATGGTGGGAGATGTCCACAGCTTGCACAACAGACATGGGTGTCTGATAGCAACCGGGTTTCTAGTTATGTATCTTGCACGCGAGAGAAGCAGGTTGTACGGTTCTATCTTGCATGACTGGATATGAGAACATGACGACAAACCAATGAGCTGGTATCCAAAACTGCTCAAGTTTGCCGGGCACATGCATCTAGTAAGTAAGCAGTGCAGGTGTGTAATCATATTCAATATTCATCGTCAGGCTTCTAGTATTTAGAAAAGTTGAGGTGGCGTAGCCCAGAAGCGCCCGCAGTTTTTTTGGGAGCTGGCTTCCATGTCAGTGTGCATGCGGCCAAACATCTGCTGTCATGGTGTTTCGGGCGGGCTTTGCAGTCGTTTCAGGTCAGGGCACCATTTCGGAAGGCTCTTGTTTAGCTCAGTCCACCAAGTGCACACAGCAACCGGTGGAATCTTAGGGGATTCCAGTATGCTCAGATCCCTTTTCATGACCTCGAGCCATCGTGTACATCATGGTGTAGCTCATCCGCGAAGGATTCGCATCTAAACTCTCCCATGATTGCATGCATAGCACCCACTTCTCAAATCTTCAACAAACTTACTTAAACCTGCTACCTTCAATGTTGGACCCAAAATTTCCGAAAGAAAAGCTGAACCCTACAGACCCCAGAAGAGTCCGTCAGGCCTGTATCTGTGCTGGCCACGCCGGCGATGTGTTGGGCGCTCAGCTTACCTTTGGTTAGTAGGGAATGGAAGAATGGTAGTAATAGTAGTTGTAATTGTACCCCCTTCCTCCATTCCCTACTAACCAAAGTTAAGTCAGGAAACGGCAGAATGCCCACCAGCCGAAGCATGGTTTCAGTGTGCAAAGGGAGGAATAAGGGTTCTCAACAGCGTTTATCGGACGGTTGATGATATAAACCCTGCACTACCTATAATGAGGAATATACCATAGTTCCCATAGTTTAGGGTCCGTACGGTAGTGCAGGATTTATATCATCAACAGTAGGGTTTAATTGGGGTTGCATGGGGTTCGAGGTTCGGCTAGTGGGTTCGCGCAGGGCGTAGGGTTGAAGGCTCCAGGTCCCAAGTTCAAGGCGTAGAAGCGGTTTAGGGTGTAGGGCTTTTGGGTTTTCTGTTGAAGGTTGAAGGGTTCAGTGGTTTAGGGTTTAGGGCTTAGGGTTTGCAGTGGTTTGGGGTTCAGGGCTTAGGGTTTGGGGTGTCGGGTTTGGGGTTCAGGGTAGGGTCTTGGGTCCAGCACGGAGGTTTTGGGATTTCGATTTTGAACCCGGGACCCTCACCCAGAACCCTGAAGCCGAAGATCTGAACCCAAAGAGACACATCCGAAATTCTTAGCATGGAGACGGACAGTGTTTACCCTACATCTTAAACCTAGTCCGAAACATAATTCCCATACGCTTGACCCTGAAACCTAAGATCTGAACCATCCATTGCTTCGAAGAGAAACCCTATAGTAGAAGCCAGAAAGTTGGAACATTATTAGCCTCATGCCCTTAAAGTAAAGTATAAGGGATCCTAGCACTAATCCTCCTCAAGCCATGTTCCAACTTTCTGGGGTTTACTATACAGCGTAACCGGAAGCCCTACATCACATGCCCTAAAGCTTAAAATCTGATTCAAGAGACTTCAACCGACGGCGAAGATCATATAGTAAGCCCTGTAGTAACCCTTATGAAGCCAATGTAACTCCATTTCGTAAATATCCGTTTTCTCTGATACTACCCCATAGAATAACCCTTGTAGATCCCTTGCAGAACCTGGAAAAACCATTGCAGAACCTTAACTCGAGACCATTTGTCAGTAAAGAAGCCTGCATTCATGTTATTGCTTAGGGTTCCTTAAAATACTTGACTAGAACTTACCACCCAAAACCCTATTCTTATTAAGGCCCCATTAGAAAAGCTTTATGGCCTGGGTACTGCCTTCACTCTGTAACAGTTGGATAATATTTATAGTAAAACTATATATATATATATATATAACCCGTAATATAGTTAGTCTGTTACAGGATGGGGGCAGTGCAAAATTTATAGCCCTTGTCTTAAGACCAAAGCGCCGAAGGTCGGCTCTGTCCTTTGCGAAGCGTCGCCCGCGCAGCGCGCAGGGCCTAGCTTGGGAGCAGACGCGACGGAGCTTGCATACCCTTTAGGGTTTTGGGCTTCGAGTTTGGGGTTTGGGGCTTACTTGGAAGCAAGGGACTTGGTAAGTAGGTTATAAGTAGAGTTATAAGTACCCTAAATGGAGTTACCCCAATTAAAACCCTACTTATAACCTACTTACTAAGTCCCCTGCCCTTCCAAGTAGGTCTTGATAAGGGCGCTTTAAGCCTTGGAAGTTGGGCAATTTGCTGACGTTTCAAGCATTAGAGGTTGAGCCGACGGCCTGGGGCTTTGAGTTTTTGGGTTTTTTTGTATGGCGACCTAAACTTAACGTTATGAACAATAGTATTTTGGGGTTCCTCAAGTTCATTTAAGCATTATTTTCCTTCAAATCCTGTTCTACTTCTTAAGGTGTGGACGCAGCCTCTGAACCAGGGGTCCGAGAAGCTTGAGGGGTGCATGGTTTGGGATCTCTTGGGGGGGTTTAGGTTTTAGGGTTTAGGGTTGAGAGGTTTAGGGGTTCGGGTTTAGGGTTTAGGGTTTAGGGTTGGGGGGGCATATCAGAAAGGCCAGGGGTTTAGGTCCTCCGAGTCTTCAACTGAAGCACGAGCCTCTCGAAGCCAGCGACGCAGCGTCGCAGCTTTCGGACTCTCTTGAGGCTCTCGGCTTGAAGCTAGGGTTTAGGGTTTAGGGTTTAGGGTTCAGGGTTTAGGGTCTAGGGTTTAGGGTTTAGGGTTCAGGGTTCGGCAATAATAGCCCGATCGTCAGCTGGGTGGTTGTCAAAAATTAGGGTCCTTTTTTTGGGTTCTTATTATAATACGGCACCGAATATTTAGGGTACCCAATTAGGGACCCTGATTTTGCAGCTCGAAACCCAACAGGCCGTTGACTTTGAGACCCTTTCTTCGAGGCTGCACGGTTTAGGGTTTAGGGTTTAGGGTTTAGGGTTTAGGGTTTAGGGTCTAGGGTCTAGGGTTTAGGGTTTAGGGTTTAGGGTTTAGGGTCTAGGGTTTAGGGTTTAGGGTTTAGGGTTTAGCTTAAATCTATCCTCGGATGGCTCAGGTGCGCGCTGCCTCGCAGCAGGAGTGGCGCCGCGTTTCTGGTGTTCCGTAAGAAACAGACACTGTGAGTATGAGGGAGGGGAGGGGTTGGATTCTAAGGTGTGGGGTCTAGGGCTTTAGGGCGAATGTAGGAGACCAGACTAAGCCTAGACCGGTTCATGTCTGATGATATTTGCGACGTAGGCCATTGTTAATTATTACAATAACTACGCTGCCCCCAGCGGTTCAAGAAACATGTGTTTCGAAGAGGACCCTCACACGAGCCCCCGTTTTTTTATCCCAACCGCCAGCTGTCTAATCCTAAAGCCTTATAGAATTTCGTAGAGCCGCTGTGTGCGCCAAACTCTAGAGCCTAAACCGTATTTGATCTGTGTTAGTGCAGGCCGAGTACGGCTGGACCTTCTGCAGTAAAGGCCCCATTGCACTTAAAACAAAGAAACCGTTGAACTCTAAAGGCCCTAAAGCGATAATTTCAATTTCTAGACTCCTTTGTATCAGCAGATGGTTTAGAGTTTAGGGTTTAGGCTTTAGGGTCTAGGGTTTAGGGTCTAGGGTTTAGGGTTTGTTGCCGGATGTTCCGCAGGAGCAGCTGCCGATGCTCTTGGTTAGCGCAAGCGCCAGCCTTGATTCCATGGTGGTGGGCTTTAGGGACTTTAGGGTCTGTGCTGTAAGGTTCAGGGTTTAGGGGTTTAGGGTTTAGGGTTTAGGGTTTAGGGTTTTTCTGCTTTTTTCTGTTCATCGAACTTCCGGCCGACAGTACGACTGCTTCCCAGCAAAGTACACAAGTAGCCCTCAGTTGCTACAGCGTTCCTCACGTCCCTTGTGCATCTTTCTGAGTCGAGCCGTCTTTCAGTCGTTCAGCCGGGTGGGGGCATATTAGGCAGCAAAATGCAAATCCCTGAACCGTTGATCGCAAAAGCCTAAACCATATACACGCTTCGACAGACACCCTTGAACCCAAACCCTAAACACCAGCCCTTTGGCCCTTAACTTGCTTATAATAGCCCGTATAGTATATGGCCCGGAAAAAGCCCCAGAGCCTGCAAGTCTCCCCGTGAAGGTCAGGACAAGACCATGAAGATCTGGGAGTTGCCTAGTGTCCGCCCCTCAGTAGGATATAGGGTTTAGGGTTCAGGGTTTAGGGTGTAGGGTGCAGGGTTTAGGGTTTAGGGTATAGGGTCTAGGGTTTAAGGTTCAGGGTTTAGGGTTTAGGAGTTAGGACGGTTAGGGTTTAGGGTTTGCAGGCATGACAAGAGTCCTTGCGAAAGCCCCAAAGCTTGAGCGAAGTTTCTCAAGCTGAACCTCCTGGATGCCTCCAGAAGCAATCCTCCCAATCCTAAAACGCTAAACCTTCAACTCTAGACCCTGAGCCCTCAAGCTCTAAACCCCTAACCCCTAAACCCTGGTTACTAAACCCTCAATCTCTGAACTCCTAAACCCTAAAACCTTCGATCCTTAACCCTCAAACCCTGAGCCCCTAAACCCGAATACCTTTAGGGTTTAGGGTTTAGGGTTTCTTCAACTCTAAGTTTCGCTTTGGTGTCTTTCAGGCTTATGTAAGCTCTTGTGCCCACACAGCCGAGGCCAAGAAGCTCGAGCAGGCCAACGGGTTTTGGATAGGGCGAGTAGGGGTTTTGGGCCCATTATACTATAATGTTAATAAGAAGCCCCAAAATAGTATAGGTAACGATTAAGGCCCCCATATCAGGCGGCCGCCTCCCTTCATTTTGGGACATGTGGGGAAGTTCGGTGCTCCCGAAGCCTTAAAACCTTCAATGTACAGATGCGAGGCAGAAGAGAAAGGCAAAACGGACGTGTGTCTTTGTATGCATGTGCCGCGCTTATGTGTGCAAGCAGGTACGAATGTATGTGTGTGTATATGTAGGTTGGTACACACACACACACACACCCCTAGACGCACACGCATTAGCAAGCCTGAAAGATACTATGGTTTCTCATCGAAAGCCCTGCACCCCAAAAGAAGGCCTGTGCACCTTTACGGCTGAACCCAAAAGCCGCAGCTCTGAAATGATACGGCCCCTAAATGACTCAGAAACCTCGACCCTGAAGCCCCCAGCCCCCCTGGTTCGGAGGTGCTGGGCCAAGGGCTGAAGGTGAAGAAGTCAAAGTTGACAGCATCGTCCTCAAGAGGACAGAAACTCGACTGGTCGGAACGCATGGCAACAGAATCACCCTACGGTCCTTGCTGCACAACGACAGCACAAGAAACGCGCCAAGCACTGTTCTTAGTATGTAGGACCTTATACTGCTCCAGCCAAGCAACAGAAGATGAGCACTACTGACATGCCGGTGTTTCCAGCTGCAGGTGGGGGTTTCGGGTTGACGAGTTCAGGTGCAGGATTCCCTGCAAGGCTTCAAGTCAGGGTTAAGGGTATGGGGTTTAGGGGCAGCTCCTTAGTGGTCTTTGCACTTTGCAAGAGAGTACCAAGGGGACCATGGTAGTGATTCCACTCGTCACCAGCGCCGCTGACTGTATTAAGCCTTGATAAATGGGGCTGCCGGGAATGTCCGACAGAGGCTGTAGAAGTGAGTTTTCCCAAAGCCCTAAACGCTACACCCCCAAAAACCCCTAAACCCTAAACCCCTAAACCCTAAACCCCTAAACCCTAAACGCCTAAACCCCTAAACCCTAAACCCCTAAACCCGAAATCCCTAAACCCTAAACGCCTAAACCCCTAACCCCTAAACCCCATAGCGCCTTTCAGGAGCTCCGATTGTACACATCTGAACTTAAGTCGGTCTTTGGGGCTGCAGGCTCCACATCCGGATCTGCGGGTGCTTCAGGGGTTTAGAGTTTATATAGGGTTTAGGGTTTCTATAGGGTTTAGGGTTTATTTAGGGTTTAGGGTTTATATAGGCTTTAGGGTTTATAAAGGGTTTAGGATTTAGGGTTTATAATTATTGGGTTTAGGGTTTCATATTTATATAGGGTTGAGGGTTCAGGGTTTAGGGTGCTTTCAACCTCGACCTCCGGACCCCCCCGCAAGCCTAAGCCCAGAGACTCCAATATCCCTTTATTAAGGAATACTCCTTAAATCATATTAAGGATCTACTATAAATTAAGGTATATTCCTTAATTAAGGGATATTCCTTAAATCATATTAGGGATCCTACTATAAATTAAGGTATATTGCTTAATTAAGGGATATTGGAGTCTCTGGGAAGCCCTTTGTGAGGTCATTGCTCACTCAAAGGAAGTCAATGACGTCCTTGCCTCTGTTTCTCAGGTGTGTGGAGGCGCTCAGGTTAGCATCGCAGAGGTTTAGGGTTTGGGGTTTAGGGGTTTGGGGGTTTAGGGTTTAGGGATTAGGGTTTAGGGTTCAGGGTTTAGTGGCGCTCGTCAGTAGTGGCAAGAACGGAAACAGAAGCACCAAATGCGACACACAGTCATCAGAATACTCTGAAGGTCGGAGGAACTGTATAAAGTGCCGAGCTGGCTGAGAGTGGTAAGCGTAGTGTTGCCAGCAACATAAAGATCGCAGTGGGAACACCGCAAAGCAGGAAGAACGGCAGTAGTCGTCGCTGTTGTCGTCGTCTTAGTCGTGGTGGTCGTGGTCGTTGTCGTTGCCACGACTCCCGCAATCGTCGACGTAGTGGTAGTAGCGCCCCATTGAAAGTCCGAGAGTTCCATTCCGGTTCTTGTTTTTGGTTCTTGTTTTTTTGGGGTCACTGACCCAAAACCCCAGGTACATTAGCTCAGCTGGTATCTTCACTGGACCCGTAGGAACACCTGCAAGCTCAGTTCGCACACTTTGATGCAACACAGCCCACTGCCTCAGTCATCCGGAGGGGGGGTGGGTCGATGATCGTAATGGTCGGAGTCGCTGGTCCCAGAGAACCCAATACCCCTTAATTAAGGAATTCACCTTAAATCATAATATGACTCCCCTTATAATTCAAGGTATCTTCCTTCATTAAGTTGTGCTCTCTGGGGTGGCCAGGTCTTAGTTTCACCAAACAACAAGCTCATTGCCAGCGGTGGGCAGGAGCTGCTCCGTTACTCCCGGGCACTTGTTGAGCTGAAGGGAGTTGAGGGTTTAGCGTTTAGGGTTTCGGAACTCTAAACCTTAACCTTGAATGATTGAGGCTTCAGTGAGCCAGCTGACCTGGGGCAACCAGACTGGTAATACACTGGTCGCAGTACCTGCAATTCCTGCTGTTGAAAGAGAGCCACACAGCCACTACTATAGGGGCCTAAATAATTGCCTATAGTAGTCTGGGGGTTCCCTAGTATAATTATAGTATACTTGGGCCCGAAACCCCGTTCTAATTATCAAGGCCCTTATAAGCTAGATGACGTTATTCTTCAGGTCGATGATCTCAGCCCCGTAGTGGAAGCGAACCATAGTTTCCGAAAATTGGGCGTATCTTATTTTGGGGTCCTTAGAGTAAGGATCCTACTGTATAGGGTACTACATCAGGTTCCCCCTATTTTTGGAAACTCCCCTACATCAGCCCCTGGCCCTAAACCCTAAACCCTAAACCCTAAACCCTAAACCCTTCCCTTTAAAGGGGCGCTTAAAAAAAAGCAAACCCTGGGAAGGACAAGTTGGTTCGCATTTGGAAGTTTCCGGAGGGCGACATGCTCGGGGAGTGCTGCGACCCCAGCTTGTTTCAGACCCAGGGCCGCCTCGGCTTAGGGAGCCCCTGAACCCGAAAGGGTTGAGGGTTTAGGGGGTTTCGGGGGGTTTAGGGGGTTTAGGGTTTGGGGTTTAGGGGGTTTAGGGTTTAGGGGTTTGTGGTTTAGGGGTTCAGGGTTTAGGGCAAACCCGGAAGTAGGATCGACCTTCAATCCTTCAGCACCACAGGAACCGTCATCATCTTCGCTCCTGGAACCCTGAACCCCGGAATCCAAGCACCCATGCATACCATGGGGTGGGAAGAATTAATTCATAGTCAGTAAGGGTGATAATAGTCCCTTATTCTGGTCCGTTACATAGTTCAACTATAATACGTCCCAAAACCCTGTTCTAATCATGAAGGCCTCTACATGCCGCGCTCTTAGCTTTTCCTTCGGTTATCCAACTAGTAATATGCGCCCGGCAAAGTTAGATGTCTCTTCCTGCGAGGACCTTAACATCAGGATCCTTAAGGTTTCCTCTAACTTTTCCTACCGGATTTACCCTAAACCCTACACCCTAAACCCTAAACCCTAAACCCTAAACCCTAAAGGGCTTCTAGGGACTTCGGGCTTTCGAATTGGTACGGGAAAAGCACCTGGAGCCGAAATCGCGACGTTAAGAGAGAGGTGGTCCAAGAAGTCTCCCCCAGCTCTTGGGAGAATGATCGAGTTGTATTTCTTCACAGACCGGGCAACCACGAAAGACGTGGTACTTTTGCCCGCGCTGTGTCATGACGTGGCTCTTTTCTCCATCGCCTTGCAAGTGCTGCTCCTCATGCTCATCCTTGGGTACATGGTATTCAGGGCTCTGTTTGAGCGCCTTGCGAGTGTCTTGCGTGGCAGAAGCGTTGCTTTAGAGGAGTCAGCACAGGAGGTCAGGATTGAGCTGCAGCCGCCGTGCAAATGCCTGCGGTTTGCCATCAAGTGGGATCCTGATATGCGACTGATGATCAACACCCTCAAGAAGGAGGGTGAAGAAGGTCTTACGAGATTTCTGGAGAACGAGGTCTTCGTGTGGAAACTGCGGAGCTACACACGCAACCAGGTCTCCAAGGCCTTCCGTTCAAACATAAAGCGGGACATGATCCAGAGACGGCAGCTAAGGGAGATTAACGCAAGAACTGCGCAGAAGACAGCGGAGCAGGAGATGCAAGACCGTCGTGCGCTGCGAGAACTCTACGGGCAAGCGGACCAAGCGGCGGCTGCTGCTCAGGCACCACTGGTGCGAGAGCAGGCCCCCGAGGTGCGTGAACCTCCGGAAGAGGCCACGGCTGCCGTTCAACTGCAGACTGCAGAAGAGGAGGATGGACAGCCTAATCCCTTCTTGAGCATGCTAATCACAACTTCGCAGAAGAAGCCGACGGATACTCAGTTGTCGCCTGAGGATGCAGCCGCGCTGGCTGCTATGAGGGCAGAGGAGCCCAGGAACAGCTTGACTACAGCACGCGAGGCCGAGCAACCCGAGGCACCTGATGCCTTTCTGAAACTGCTGATCGAAACATCAAAGAAGAAGCCAATGCAGATGTGCACCGCGGAAACTTCAGTAACGACATCTATGGTGGCCGGCGAGGCTGGAAGCAGTTCACCTGAAGCTTTACAGGCAGAGCAAAACATCCATGGAGAGGCGGCGGATTCATGTGGGCAGTTTCGCATTGAAGATTCGCAGAAGAAACGAAGGGACGCTCAGATGTCTTGTGAGGATGCTGCCGCGCTGCATTTATTGATGGCAGAAAAACCAGCAAGCAACACTGAAGCGCCGCAGACTGAAACATCCGCGACCAAAGACTCTCCATGCGACACGGACGGTTGGGATTACGATGACTTCTGGGCTCACATCGATGTCAACTTGCCACCACACTTGGCAGCGGCCAAGCTCTTTGCAGCCATGGGCATTACTGAAGATTCTGCAAGCATCACCGGTGCTTCTGCCATGCTCGGGAGCAACATGCCCGACGAGGATCCCTTCAGGGGCTTTTGGGACAGTGTGGATTCTAACATGTCGCCAGAGCTGGTGGCAGCCAATCTTGTGAACGCGGCCCAGTTCATAAAGGCCTGCTGAACGAAGTGCAAGTGCCAAAGAGCACTGAACAACTTGCGAGTAGAGCCCGTCAAGGTTGGTCAGAGAACTAGATAGCTGGTTTGTAGCTGCCAGTCGACCTAAGGGCAAATCACGACGATACGAAGCTAGTACAGTACATTATAGCATAGCATATTAAAGTATACTACAGTATATCATCATAGTACTGTATATTAAAGTACATTACAGTATATGACCGCATAGTATGGTATCTCACAACTAATACTAGTGCTTCCGTCCGCGGTGCCTTAAGGTCTGGTTCGGACATGGTTCTGCCAGTTGACAGCTCTCATCCGTGCAAGTTCCTTGGGAAGTGTAAGTTGTATGGTGTTGGATGGCGTCTATTCTTCGAGGTTTTTGGGGCAGAAATTGCCCCCGAATCCCCGAAAGCTGAGCTAGAATACTCTGCCTTAGAAGCTGCCCCCACCCTGTAATAGTCACTATAAGGATTATATTAGGGCCCTATTGTATTCCTATTATACCACTATTACAGGGTGGGGGCAGCTTCTAAACTATGCCTGAAGCCTCGCCGTCCTTCTGACGTCTGACGCTTTGTCAGATGCAAAGCTCGCAGCTTTGTCATCTCTGAGAGATGCACGAATTCAAGCGGACAGAGTCTGCCGAGCCCTAAAACAGCCCGACTGCAGGCACTGAACACGAAAACTCACATCCTAAAACCCGAGCCCTTAATGCATTCAAAGAAGCCCCTAAACCCTACACCCCCTAAACCATCCAAAACCCCTAAATCCCAACCCTAAATCCCTGAACCTTGAACCCTACGCAGATCTTTTGCGATCGCAGCCCGGACTAGCCCGAAAGGCTTTCGCTTGCTCAGCACGAAGACCCTCCTTCCGTTCCATTTAGGCATGGTTCACGGTTTAGGGGTTTTGGGGTTGAGGGGTTTAGGGTTGTAGGGTTTAGTATGCCGAAACTTGACCCTCCAAGCCCACCTTTAACCTACATCCGTTCTCTCTGGAAGCCTTTCATCCAAAAGCCTAAAACCCTAAACTCTGAACCATGAATCCTTGAGCCCTCAGCCTTCAGCCGCAAAACCAAAGCTTCTGAGGCAAAGGACACCGGCGAGGTGTTTGGTGCCCTGGCTGCCGTCGAACAGGATTTGGATTTGCCGTTTTCAGGATGAAGACCTAAACCCTAAACTCTAAACCCCAACATCCCAAAAGCCTACGGCCCAAATCTATCCCTGAAGAAGCAACTCTAAAACCTAAGAGCACTGAAAGCCTGGCCTAAGAACCCCTCAAAGGAAACTCAGAGGGACCCTTAGTATACGGCTTATGTATGGAAGTGTAGTCCTAGACCTTAAACCCTAAACCCTAAACCCTAAAACCTAAACCCTAAACCCTAAACCCTAAACCAATTCCAGGTGCGTGGCGTTCTCTCCCATCGACCAGGTGGTGGCCTCTGCCTCTAGCTCTGGCCTCGGGTGGGTCTGGAGGTTCAAAAAGGGTTGAGGGTTTAGGGTTTTAGGTTTAGGGCTTGAGGGTTTAGCATTGAAGGTTTAAGGTTTGAGGGTTTAGGGTTTAAGTTTTAGGATTAGAGGGTTTAGGGTTGAGGATTGAGGGCTTGGCCCCAAAGTCCCAAACGAATCAGAGCGCACGTCGATTTCCTGGATGCGGCTGGTAGCAGAGGGCCCTCAAGGACTAGTCACACTGCTTCGTCGGTTTCCTTAACATACTCAAAGTATACCATAGGGATCCTTAGGAGGGTAGGGGGGAGGGGGTAGGGGACTATACTTCCTTAACTAAGCCTTATTAAGCCGTTCCCCCACCCCGCTAAGGGTCCTACTGTTGATGAGATAAATCCTGCACTACCTTAAGGACCCTAAACTATGGGAATTATGGTATATTCCTTATTATAGGAAATGCAGGGTTTATATCATCAACCGTATGTTTATACGACGTCCTAGGGCAGTTTAGGGTTCAGGGTTTGCTCCTGCGTCTGGGTTTGAGGCGGGGTTTTAGGGCTCCGAACTGTAAGGTAAAAGCCAGAAAGTTGGAATATGATTATCCTAACCCTTCTATGGTAAATTTTAGGGTATCCTACCATGAACCATATTCCAACTTTCTGGAGTTCCCTGTAGCCCAGAACCTTGCACCCTTAGCCCCTGAAGCCCTGCCCTCAAGACCCACACCCCGCAACCCCCCCCCCCCCGCGAGCCCCACAACCCTGAAGCCCTTCAACCCTAATTCCTATGACCTTTGCTTTAGAATCCCTGAACTTCCAAACCGCAAAACCTGAAACCCAGAAGCCCTAACTCCTAAACACCGGAAAAAACCCTCTAGGAGTCCTTAAACCCTGAACCCTACCTTAACCCTGAATAACCGACCTTTGTAGGGTTCGTCATTATGATTTCCTCATATATGTCCTTAAAAAAAGGTAGGTTCTTCCGGGTTAAGGTAATTCCTAAACCCAAAAACCCTAAACCCTTAGCCCTAAAAAACCCTAAACCCTAGAAATCCCTAAACCCTAAAAAGCCCTAAACCCTAAACCCTCCCAAAATACGCAAAACCCCGAAGTCCAACACCCGAGTCCGGCTCAAGCCCCGAGGTGATGCCACCATCCGGCTCTGGAACCTCAAGGATTTCAGGCGGCTTTGGGGGTTGGGGGGGGGGGGGGCTTAGAGTTTTTTGGGGTTTAGGGGTTTAGGGGTTTACGGTTTAGGGGTTTAGGATTTAGGGGTTGGGGGTTTAGGCCTTCAGGCGGGGGGTTTTCCAGAGGTTTGGCCGTTGGGTCCAAGACTTTGGGGCTTTCCGGGTTTAGAGTGATTCTTAAACCCTGTAACCCTAAACCCTAACCCTGAACCCTAAACGGTTAGGCCTCGTTACAGTCGGGAGTGAATGACTTCAGGCGTAAGGGGATGGCCATGAAGACTTTTCACCGGCGTTTTTGGGCTTTTTTATTAGGGTTTCGGGGCTTGGGGCTGTGGGTTCGAGGCTTGTGCCTAAAGGGTGGGGGTATCGGATTTGGGATCCCAGCTTCGAGGAGGGAAGGACGGAGAAGAAGGACACAACCAAGAGTTCTATCTCAGAGTGTTAGGGTTTAGGGTTTAGGGTTTAGGGTTTAGTATCATGCATGTAGTTACTCGTTCTTGTTATAAGGCACCTAGAACACGGAAGCCATAAACCCGAAGCGGTAAACCCTAAACTGTGCCCCTGTGCGCGCGCAGGGCCATCCGCTCCTTCCAGGGGCACAGCAGCGCGGTTCTGCGCGTCGCCTTCTTGGCGAACGGCATGCAGCTGATGAGCCTGTGTCATAGTTGGGTAGCATTTTACATGTTTATGGGTACTTAAACCCAATAAGGAATAACAATTCAATTTTTATTCCTATCCCAACCATGAACTAGGAGCAGCAGCGTGGACGGCCTGCTTAAGCTCTGGCACATCAGGAGCAGATGCACTTGATGCAGTCAGACTAAGACGGTGTGTTTTCCTGCACCCTTGGACTGTGTTGGCTGCAAGCCTTTGAAGGACTGCAGAGTGTGCAGCCACCCTCGAAGAACACACCAGCAAAGTCTGGTGCATTGACATCCTGGGCGATCGGATGGTTTCTGGCGGTGCTGACTCCAAGATTTGCGCCTTAGCTGCGAAAGCAATCGGGTTCAGAGTGATACCGCGCATGCGTAGACCTGTCAACGGCAGCTCTAGCTCTCACTCTCTCTCTCTCTCTCTCGCCACTGTGCCAGAGTCCCTAAACTCCAAACTTTCAGTCCATTGCACCTTAAACAAGACATTTCAATCCTGATTCAGTCCTAGTCCTCGGCGCGCAATGGCCCGCCAGCCAGCAGAGCCCAGGTGTTTGGCGCGATTCCACCCTCGAAGTGGAGAAGCAGCGAAGTTTTGGCATGTCTTGTGCGTCTGGGAACTTGGGGTTTTGGGCTCACGGTTTTTGGACGTTGGAGTTTTCGGTTTAGGATTAGGATTCCATGGTTGCCAGATGGGAGTTGCCGAAAATAAGGGACCCTAATATAGTACCCTATGTAGTAGGATCCTTATTATAAGGACCCCAAATAAGGTACCCCAAATTTTCGGAAACCCCCAAACCCTAAACCCTAAACCCTATAGATCCCTTTAAAGGCACCCTTAAAGGAACCCTTATAGATCCCTTGAAAGGAAGCCCTAATGGGACCAGCTTTGTTTAGGGCTCAGAGGGCGAGCAGCTTGGTTGTTGAGGCCCTGGGCCTCGAAGTCCAAAACTCGAAACCATCAGCCGTATGTCCTGCATGGGAGTTTCCGAAATTAGGGGTACCGTATTTTGGGGTCTTTATAATAAGAAAGTTACTATTTAGGGTACTATACTAGGGTCCCCTATTTTCGGAAACTCCCACATAGCGATAAGCAGTGCCTGGAGTAACTTCTTTCTGGCCCCCTGCTCCCGTGCAGCAGGCCAGGATGAGAAAGCGGATCTCGCGATCAAGGACATTGGCTAGTGCAGTGTTTAGGCTTCCGGGCTCAGGGGTTCAGGGTTCAGAGCTTTGCCAATTGGAGGAGGTCTCTCCCTAAACCCTAAAGCCCCAAACCCTAAGCCTTAAACCCCAAACTTCCTAAACCCTAAACTTTAAACCATAAACCCTTAACCTTAAACCCCAAACCCTTACTTGAAGCCCCAAACCTTAACCCCTAACTCCTAAACCCTAAACCTTAACCTTGTTCCCGGCCTATGCTCCGTGGTCGGTCCCTGGTGACGAGAGACTGCTTCAGGACTCCCGAATCGGCCTTCTGGTCAGAGAGGGAAAGGCCATCGTCGATTTCGGGTTTAGGGTTTATCGGTGGTATCCCCAGACCCTCCTAAACCCTTGAGTTGAGCAATACACCTTACATCATATCTGGGCTCCCCTCTGCAGTTCAAGTGACATTCCTCAATTGTGACGTTTCGGAGTCTCTAGGCTAGGCCCCTGGAAGCATCATAGGCAGCTCCAGAAGCCAGCTTCCGTCACAACAAGAGTGCAAGCCTGAGAGTCGCCTACAAGAAAACTTCCCCTGACCCTAAACCCTAAACCCTAAACCCGAAACCTTCGACCCTAAGCCCTAAACCCGAAAGCCCCATGCTTTCTCACTCTTTAAGGAAGGTTTCCGCCACCCTGACGCCTGCAAGCCCCGAACCAACCACCCCAAATCCCTTAACACCCATTCTTAAGCTCCCACATTCTTAAACTAAAACCCGAAATTGGAAACCCCAGACCCGAAAGTGAAAATTGCCAGACCTTCTACCCTGAACCCACTAAATTCCACACCTCCCAGATCAGCCTAACATTATCCCTAAACCCTAAACCCTAAACCCTAAACCCCAAACCCTAAACCCTAAACCCTAAACCCTAACCTCCCAGATCAGCCTAACACTGCCGAAGGTGGAAGCAGCCTTGACGTTGGTCCCTGCCTCAAGTTCTTGCGATGATCCAGGGTTGGCACTGTAGGGGATACGATAGCAGAGGTATTTCAAGGGTTCTATGGGAGTTACCACGAAGGATGCTAAATTGAGGGTTAGTGTTTGATTTACTATAATGAGAGCACTATACGGGTTGCAAGATAATGCGGCTTCTATTGCTACAGTATACTAATGCTTCTATAAGAGTTCGCGGGATCTTACCATTATGATCGGGTCCCGCAAGGGATGTCATTACGTCTTATTCAGACTTACTATTAGGGTTTAGTTTCAGTGTAGGTTTTGGCGTGTCGGGTTTGGGGCTTGGGCTGTTTCAGGAGAGTTAGGAGATGCAAGACGGCGCCAAATTTTGAAAGGAGTCGAATGAAGCTACGAATTGTCAGACCCGGAGCTAGAATCCTAAGTCGTTGCAGGCTTGTTGTAGCGACCCCATGTCGAGAGAGCCCGCAAACTTAAGCATCTCCGCTCTCAGTGGGGCAGCTTTTCCGTGAAGTGTTTCCATCTGTTTGTTTCCAGGAGTTGGGCTTAGTGTTTAGTAGTTTAGGAATTTAAGGTTTAGGTTTCGCACGTGTAAGTAAACCCCCTGTGCAGTCATCTCTGATTTGAGTCCTGGGATGCAGGGCTATGGGCCATTTCAAATTTATCTGGAAGCAAACCTCAAACCCTAAGCCAAAAAGAGCCCAGAAAAAAAAGACCCTGAACCCCTAAAACCTAAATCCTATTCCCTAAACCCTAAACCCCAAACCCCCAAACCCCTCAAACCTAAACCGTGTATGTCTAAGAGGCTGCAAATCTGTTCTTGTTGCCATCCGCAACACCGGTGAGGGGTTTTCGGTTTAGGGTTCTCCTGAACTCCTGCCCGACATACGCACATCCTTGTCAGTGTAACTAAGGAAACAATCGGAATGAATCGGCAACGTCGAAAATGCAGCTGTGCAGATGATACCCCAAGCTCTAGACCCTACTCACCGAGGTGTAGAACCCGTCACCAGGCCTTCAACCGAAGTTTCAATCCTACCAAGACGAATGGGATCTGACATCTATGTATATCGCTCTAAAACCCTGGCGAGCCTTATAATATACGGGCCTAAATAATTACCAATGCTACCTTGGGGGTTCCTTATTATAGTTTCAGTTTAATGGGCCCAAAGCCCTATTCTAATTATTGAGGCCCTTATAGTATAGAGACCTCTAATAGACCCCGTTGAAGGAACCGAAGCCTATTCTAACGGCCCCTATAGTACCACGCACAAAGCCTCGTGTGCTGCGGCCTCGTGTCAGAGGCTCTCGAGCTGAAACGGCCCGGCCAGATGCAGCAAATACTGCTGGCCGGGTGCCCGGTGCGGTTTGAGCCCTAAACCCTAAACCCGAAACCCCAAACCCTGAACCCTCATATGTGCTCGCCCCATGTGCGCTTTTGAGTGACGCCTAGTGCAGACCCAAAAAGGAGCCCTCAAAAAACATCCTGAATCCTGAGACGGCAAAAGGTGTTCAACAAATCCTAAACCCTAAACCTTTAACCCGCATCCTCATTCTGACTCGCACTCACCCTCACCATGGTTTAGCGCTTCAGGGATGGAGGTAGGGTTCTCTCGGGGGGGCAGGAGGTGGGGAAACCCGAAACCCTCAAAAACCACTAGACCGTTAATCCCAATAGCACTGAGAAGCTTGTTCCTCCCGTTTCCAACCCCAAGAAGCAGCAGCACTCAACTCCCCAAGACTGAGGCCTAAATCCTTGAGTCCACATTCTCGAAACCGCTGAAGCCCAAATAACTCATCAAACCCTGAACGCCATTTAAATCGACTTCCCCAACCCCCCAAATCCCCACACAAGCACATGGCCCTCAACCCCAAACCTCACATGTTGCTGTCCCGAAGTTACCTAATCCTTCCTATACCATGGTCCCAGCTCATACCCAAACAACCGAAACCCGAGCCTCAAACACGAATCCCCCCATGCCTTGAAAACTGGACAACTGGACCATAGACCCGAGACCCAATCCTAGGCTTGCTCCCTCGAGGAGACACCTTTGGATTCTTTTGTGGATTGAAGGTATCCCTAAACCCCAAACCCGACCCTAAACACTAAACCGCCCAGCCTTTTCCTCCCTCCTCGGTGCCTTGCTCGACCGCTTTCCAAGGAGACGAAACCCGAACCCCTAAAAGCCCTCGTGCTGTCCTGGGGAGTTCGACGTCTGATTTTTTTGGCCTTGAGACAAGAGCCTTATCAATGAGAATAGGGTGTTGGGGTCTCCTAAAATTATTCAAATATGGTAAAACCTTACCAAATCCTTAAAGCCAGAGAGCCCAATACCCCTTAATTAAGAAAGATACCTTAAATTATGAGGGGATTATATGTATGATTTAAGCTATGTTCCCTAATTAAGGGGTATTGGGCTCTCTGGGAAGCCCTGATAGAGTCCTGAGGGACTGACAGATATTGCCACTTATGCAGAAACCTGTGTTATACAACCTTCAATCACTGTAGAGCCCTGAGGAATCATATTGCTAGCCAGTCAGGCCTCGGCCCCTAGGTGACATTTCGGTTGTGGGGGTTCCCTGTTTTACTTATAGTATAATGGCCCCGAAACCCTATTCTGATTATTGAGGCCCCTATATTGTAGAGTTCAGGCATTTTGTTTGGGGCCCTCTGCCCAGGATCACACGATGGACATGGTCGGACGGACGCTGTTTGCTAGCGCTGCCGGGCGCTCAGCATGTGCTCCTTTAATTCGGATGCTTTTTTAACGAGAAAAGCCCTATAGCCTCACCCCTAAGCCCTAAGCCCTTCGACGTTGACAGTTTCTGTTTTTGGGGCGTTATGCGGGGTCCAGGGTTCTGGTTTGAAGGCTTCCTGCCGGGGTTGATATTAGATGTTTCAGCCGGTCGAGAGGGTTTCCGGGGGTTTAAGGTAATGCGTGGGGAGAATCGTGGTTTCTACCAGAGGTGAACACATTTTTGACATGTGTTATTGGCGTCTTTTGAGAATATTGTTCAATAAGTGCTTGTAAATGCAGGTTCTCCAGAGTGTACCGGTTTTGGAAGGATTTCTACAAGGGGGTACCCACAAGACCGTAAACCTTTAATCCTGAGCGCAACACCCCGGAGCTTCAACACTGATTCCCTGCTGTACTTCTCGACTTTTGCGTAGACCCCCTAAACCCTAAACCCTAAACCCCAAACCCCAAACCCCAAACCCCTAAACCCTTAAACCCTAAACCCTAAACCCTAAACCCCTAAACCCCAAACCCTAAACCCCTTTAAACAAAAGAACCCTAAACCCCTAAACCCTAAACCCTAACCTAAACCCTGAACTAGGCCCCTAAACCCGACAGTTCCCAGGGGCTCAAGGGCTGTCAAGTTCCATTCTAAGCCCAGGCACAACCAAAGCCGAAACCATTCCTTGTTGTGAGCCCTGAACCCTAAACCCTAAACCCTAAACCCCTAAACCCTAAACCCCTAAAGCCCTGAACCCTAAACTGACGGTTTAGGGTTTATATAAGGTTCAGGGTTTAGGGCCCGAAACCCGTGAAGCTCTGAAGCTATTCAGCCTGGACCCTTTGTCACATGGTTGCTGGCATGGTCAAATTCACCAAAATTTTACAAACCTTCCTCAACGGCATCAGATGTCCGGGGAGAGTTGGAAATAACTTCAGTGGGGCTACCCGAGATCCACCAACATGGTTCAGGGGTTTCGAGGGTTCGAGTTAGGCAGCAACTTAGTTTGTTCCTTCGCAGAGGTCTCACGGTGCTTTAGCATCTACCGGTGATCCTTCCAGCAGGGTTCTCGCAAAACTCGGTACAATGGCCCTAAACCCTAAACCCCTAAACAGTAAACCTCTAAACCCTAAACCCTAATAGAAGGCCAAGTCCGAACGCCCAAAGGTCGGGTTCAGGGCTTGGAGATCAAATCTCAAAGGGGAAAAGGAGGAACCCGCAAAGGGGACCACCCTACAAGGGGCTATATAATGGGTATATAGTGGCTATATTAAGGGTGTATACCTAGGGGTCCTTATTAAGGGTCCCCTCCTTTTACCCTTGGAAAATCTAAACCAGGGTTTCCCTTGACCAGGAAGGGGCGCCGCCGGTGAACAACACCGTGAGCGGCAAGAGCCAGGGCCATGGCGTCGAATTTCTACCTCTGTTGGCAGTTTGAAGTTGGGGATAATCACAGATAAGGGGCGAGAGAGCGAGATAAAGAAATTAATGTGTGTGTGTATATATATATATATATACATATATAGAGGTAGATAGATCGACATATGTAGAACACCATACATAAGTATAAACAACTGAATAGTACGAATATGGCAACGTACATACATATGCATGTAAGTATGTATATATGTATGTATTCGTAGGGAGGGAGGAAGGAAGGGAGAGAGGGAGGGAGGGAGTGAGGGAGGGATGCGTATCTCTCATTTCATTCCGCGAGACGCATATTGTGCTGCACAACAGCACAGTGTAATCCGGTATAATGAGTGTGTGTGTGTGTGTGCATGCCGTGGTTGCTGTCTCGCTAGATGTGGTGCATTACATTATGGGCATGCTTGATTGGCCTACGCCTGCGGCTGTATGCTAACATCTTCTGTGCTTAACTCAATTCGCTGCGGCGAGCTTTGGCCCAACGACGGGGTCACGTTGTGGCTGCACGTAAGCCAGCAGATCATGAAACCCGAAATCCTCAACCCTACGCTTAGAACCCCAAAGAGGGCTTTTTAAAGCGACTAAATACCCTGAACCCTAAATCCTAAGCTTGAAAACCCCACACCCGAAACCGGTAAACCCTAATTCCTAACAAAACCCCTAAACCCCGAACCGCGAAGCCGTGAATTCCTACAAAGCAATCACTTGGGGCATTCAGCGGTGCGAAGCCAGTACTTAGAGGCCCAGGGGACTTAGTAAGTAGGTTATAAGTACAGCTATAAGTACCCTAAATGGAGTTATCCCAATTATAACCCTACTTATACCCTAAACCCTATAGATCCCTTATAGATCCCTTTAAAGGAACCCTAAAAGGGACCCCTTATAACCGACTTACTAAGTCCCCTGGGCCTCTAAGTAGAGTCTCATGCCGCACTTCAGCGATTGGGCCCGCCGGGAGCAAGGCAGGGTTCAGGGTTGAGGGTTTTAGGTTTAAGGGTTTAGGGTTTGGGGTTTTAGGTTTAAGGGTTTAAGGTTTAGGGTTCAGGGTTGTTAGGGTTTAGGGCTCAGGGTTTAGGGTTTGGGGTTTTAGGTTTAAGGGTTTAAGGTTTAGGGTTCAGGGTTTTTAGGGTTTAGGGCTCAGGGTTTAGGGTTTGGGGTTTTAGGTTTAAGGGTTTAAGGTTTAGGGTTCAGGGTTTTTAGGCTTTAGGGCTTTAGGGTTGAGGGTTTTAGGGTTTAAGGTTTAGGGTTCAGGGTTTTTAGGGTTTAGGGTTTAGGGCTTTAGGGTTGAGGGTTTTAGGTTTAAGGGTTTAGGGTTCAGGGTGTTTAGGGTTTAGGGTTTAGGGCTTTAGGGTTGAGGGTTTTAGGTTTAAGGGTTTAAGGTTTAGGGTTCAGGGTTTTTAGGGTTTAGGGCTTTAGGGTTGAGGGTTTTAGGTTTAAGGGTTTAAGGTTTAGGGTTCAGGGTTTTTAGGGTTTAGGGTTTAGGGCTTTAGGGTTGAGGGTTTTAGGTTTAAGGGTTTAAGGTTTAGGGTTCAGGGTTTTTAGGGTTTAGGGTTTAGGGCTTTAGGGTTGAGGGTTTTAGGTTTAAGGGTTTAAGGTTTAGGGTTCAGGGTTTTTAGGGTTTAGGGTTTAGGGCTTTAGGGTTGAGGGTTTTAGGTTTAAGGGTTTAAGGTTTAGGGTTCAGGGTTTTTAGGGTTTAGGGTTTAGGGCTTTAGGGTTGAGGGTTTTAGGTTTAAGGGTTTAAGGTTTAGGGTTCAGGGTTTTTAGGGTTTAGGGTTTAGGGCTTTAGGGTTGAGGGTTTTAGGTTTAAGGGTTTAAGGTTTAGGGTTCAGGGTTTTTAGGGTTTAGGGTTTAGGGCTTTAGGGTTGAGGGTTTTAGGTTTAAGGGTTTAAGGTTTAGGGTTCAGGGTTTTTAGGGTTTAGGGCTTTAGGGTTGAGGGTTTTAGGTTTAAGGGTTTAAGGTTTAGGGTTCAGGGTTTTTAGGGTTTAGGGTTTAGGGCTTTAGGGTTGAGGGTTTTAGGTTTAAGGGTTTAAGGTTTAGGGTTCAGGGTTTTTTAGGGTTTAGGGTTTAGGGCTTTAGGGTTGAGGGTTTTAGGTTTAAGGGTTTAAGGTTTAGGGTTCAGGGTTTTTAGGGTTTAGGGTTTAGGGCTTTAGGGTTGAGGGTTTAAGGGTTTAAGGTTTAGGGTTCAGGGTTTTTAGGGTTTAGGGCTCAAGGTTTAGGGTTTGGGGGTTCAGGGTTTAGGTTTTAGGGTTTAGGACTGGCCAGGGGTTCCCTAAAATGAACATGCCAGGCTTTAGGGTTTAGGCTTTAGGGTTTAGGGTTTTGCGGTAGTATAGGGGGAATACTACTGGTTAGGGGTTCCTTAAAATAAACATACTAGGCTTTAGGGTTTAGGGTTTAGGTTTTAGGGTTTGAGGTTTTAGGGTTTAGGGTTTTGGGGTAGTGTACGGGAAATACTACTGTACTGGTTAGGGGTTCCTGAATAGAAACATGCTTTGGTACATCTGAAAACCCACTCAATGATTTTGGGGTTTTAGGGAGCCCTAAACCCTAAACCCCTAAACCCTGAACCCTTTTCGGACTCCAGGACCTTATGACTTTAGGCTCACAGGGTTTGAGGTTTCAGCTTGGGACTTCATGGTTTGGGGTTCTTTGGTTTCGATATTGGGGTTTCCAAAAATTAGGGGCACTTTTTTCGTGGTCCTTATGATAAGGATCCTACTATTCAGGGTACTATATTAGGGTCCCCTATTGTCGGAAACTCCCATATTGCGGTTTCAAGGTTTCGAGGTGTTAGGTTTCCTGGTGGGCTTTTTCTGACCTTCTGGCAATGCCAAGGTTCAGGAAAAGGACGGTTGATGATTTAAATCCTGCATTTCCCACAATGAGGCATATACCATAATTACCATAGTTTAGGGTCCTTAAGGTAGTGCAGGATTTATATCATCAACAGGAGGAGAGGGGACTTGAAGTTTGTGGTCGAGGATGCACCCGAGAGTTTCAATGGATCTTTGGAACCCGGAAACCCTTGAAGCCCAACGCCCCGCACCCTGAAAGCCCGAAGTACCACCCAAAAACCCAAAACGAGCCCTAAACCCTAAACCCTAAGCCCGAAAACCCTAAACCCTAAACCCTAAACCCTAAAGCCCAGCGAACATCCTCAGGTGTCCTTGTGACAGTGGATGCCCCGTCCCGGGACTCCCAGAAGGTGGCGAAGTGGCAGAACTGGGACCTGCCGAATGCCAAAAGAGCGATACCGGCCGCTTGTAGCATTTCGGTCTTTTCGGGCGGAGGGGTTTGGAGGGTTCAGGGTTAAGGGTTAGGGTGCTTGTAGCATCTCTGTCTTTGGTAGGAATTCGGAACAAATTTCACTGCTTGGGGTTGAAGGCTCGAGGTTTAGGGTTTCGGATCTGTTTTGGTGAGGCTTGCGAGGCTATACAGCCAGGGCCCTCGCGGCCCAGTCACCGTTCAATCAAAGATGTCTCGTGCAGACGCCCGAGGCTTCGAAACGGCTACCAGTAGCAGGGTTTCGGAGACCCCTGTAGCGTCTTGAAAGAAGTGGAAAAACGACGCCGCATCCCACCGGCAAGCCCAAGAGACATGAACCCAAAACCCTAAACCCTAAACCCCTAAACCCTAAAACCCTAAAGCCCTAAAACCCTAAACCCTGAAACCCTAAAACCCCTAAACCCCTAAACCCTAAAACCCCTAAACCCCAATTCAGCCGAAGATCCGAAGTTCCGAGGTGAAGCCTTCCGAGTTGGGAACCGGCGCGCACTTCGAGGCCGACTGGAAGACCTACCAGTGTTCGTTTAGGGTTTAGGGGTTAGGGTTTAGGGGTTTAGGGTTTAGGGTTTAAGGTTTAGGGTTTAGGGTTTTAGGGCTTAGGGTTTAGGGTTTTCGACCTACCAGTGTTCGTTTAGGGTTCCTTGTCATAGTTGGGTAACATTTCACGGAGTTGGCGTGTAGGGGCTTTGGGATTTGGGGTTTAGGGGTTTAGGGGTTTAGGTTGGGGATGCAGGGTTTAGGAGTTTAGAGTGTAGGGGTTGGGGATCTGGGGGTTTAGGGTGGTGTAGGGTTTCGGGCATATTTTAAAGGGTTAATATATGTGTGAGTACAACGGCTACCATGTTGCAAGGGCTACTCTAGGGGTTATACTGTACCGGCCACAATAAGGTTGATTGTATAGGTTAGCATGAGAGTGTGCGGAAATGGGGTTTGGGGTACTTGGTTCAGGGTTTGGGGTGTAAGCCACTGGGCTTAGAATGCCGGAGCGGTAGTTCAGATGGACACGACCTACTTGTACCATGTGCAGAAAGTGATGCTTGGACCTCTGCATGCATGCGCCCCATGTACTACCTCATACGCAGATAAGAAGAATAGATTTCCACAAGCACTTAAATTGAGAACCACGCGCACATGTAAACACACATACACATATGCATATATGCGCATATATGTATACACACATACAAATTTGTTCATATACAAATATATGTTGTATATGTATATGCACAACAACAATAGTCGTCGTCCTCGGCACCGACGCCGCAGCACCAGCCACAGCAGCAGCAGCAGCAGCAGCAGCAGCAGCAGCAGCAGCAGCAACAAATGCAGCAACGGTCCAGCCGCTCAGCCCTAAACCCCTAAACCCGCAAGCTTGAGCCCTACATGTAACCCTAAGCCCTAAATCCTAAACACCCCAAACCCCAACCTACATGTTCCAATGCACTCTCTGTCGGTAACAGGTTGTGGCGGATCGTGCTGCAGTGAGGGCTGAACCCTCGCTGGCAGCCCCGGTTCAGGGTGGCAAGGTGAAGGTACGTGGGGTCCCAGATAGGGGTTAGGGTTTACGGTTTAGGAGTCCCGCATAGGGGTCGGAATAAATTAGTACTGAAACCCGGATATAGGCCCTGTATGATTAATGTAGACTATACCACCAAAATCCTGTCCAAATATTAGATTCACT